ATTCGGACACATCTATTAATAGTATTGAACATTGATGGGTTCAACAATAATAAAACTGAATAATGTGCTTCAGCTGGAAAAAAGACGCTTTGGTTATTTCTGGTCAAAAGAGTTCTCGAATATTTATGCATTTCTATGGCCATAATAATGCCACACATTTTGTGCCGCGTGCTATTTTTCGACGTCAGACACATAAATTCAGTTAATTAACTAACAAAAATAGGCGACACTTTCGCCTCGACGCTGCGCTAAGAGCAGATCATAATTTTTAGATGTTCAACAAGCAAAAGAATCAAGAATCACAAAGTAAAATGCCTTCACGTAGGATTGTCGACGAATAAATACTCTTTAGAAAACCAAAACAAAAATGAAATAAGATTTTTAGGTAAGTCGAAGTTGTAAATAGCTTTTCTAGTTTTTCATAAAAAAAAAAACTCACTTTTGCCAAGTTATCTGAAGAAACTAAAACATTTATCGCGATATTTTCTTGGCATATGGCATTTATATGATATCGAAGATATAGTAATTAGTCATTGACAAACTTTATTTAAAAAAAAAATGGCCAACTTGTGTCAAAGTAACTGCTATACTTATCTCAATTTTTCCTTGTCTTGTAGTCATTTAAAAATTGTCTAAAGATATTTTTCAATTATTGATCACATTATCTGCTAATACTGATGCTATCGATCCGATAAATATCATTCAAAATTTATATAGCTTATGTCCTGTCGAATTGAAAATCTGCTCAGTTAGGGTATTCAAAAACAAAAGGCGGCTAAAAGTTTGGGTGTGTGCCAAGGCGGGCTAGCGACATCATCGCGAACATCAATGGGTTGGCTATTTATTGTAGCGTCTGTGCCTAAAAAGATTGCCATGGACCACCCCCCCAAGTGTTTTATTATATATATCATTTTTTTTTTGTCATGTTTCTGGTATTCGGGTTGAGTGCGTGCGAATTGGTTTTGCGCTTTAGCCGTAGCAGCGAAATGTATCTTTCAGATACTTTTATATTTTGTGCCCAGCAACATTAGGTTGATTACACAGCATCTTGTGTGTCGAAATGCGACGGAGGCTGTCATGTTTTGCCGAAAATTAATGTCGATTTCAGCTATTAATAAATCCCCCAACCCCTCACACCCACACACACGCAAACACATACACACACACACACACACACACACACACACACACACACACACACAAAGAAACTATTGAACTAAGCAACAATGTGTATGAGGCCTATTGATAGGCCTCTGAGCTTATCGCTGCGTTCTTATCAGTGGGGCGAATGCAAAAATTCATTCAGCACAAATTGTGTATATGAACAGATATAGCTACTATATAGTCTTATACTCACAAAGATCTGTTCGTATTTCTCGCCATAGAAACTGATGGGCTGCTCCAATTGCAGCAGCGCCTGTTCGCTGTTGCCCTTGGCCAGATATTGTATGCTGCCGCTGTCCTCGACAAATTCGTAGAGCTCGTTGGAGCGCAGACTGTCCAGGTAATGCTCATATTGACCTCTGACCTGGCACAGACCCAGCAGCAGCAGCAGCAGCAGCAGCGGCCAGAATTTTTGGTAAACAGTTTTCATTGCAACGAGCAAAGTTTGACTATTATTTGATGTAAATGCGAATTTCTTAAATTGAATTTTAAGAAATTCTTGTTTTAATTATTTTTCTGTGCGCGTTTCACAATTTTGCGAGCAGCATTTTCACACACACACACACACACACACACAGTGAAACACACACGCGCGCGCGTAATGTAAGCAACTCGTTTTGGTTCCAAAAATATCGAATTTATAAATAACGAACCGGCAGACAACTGAGTATCTATCGTCTATAGCTACACTATACGTATGTCTATATATATTTTCTTTTTGGAACTGTGTCTTGGAACGGCGATACCAATCGCCTCTTGTCTCCTGTCTTCTCTAGCTTTCGATTCAATTCGATTCGATTCGATTCGATTCGATTCTTCGGCCGAGCAAAGCGAACCGCACGCGCTGCCAACAAATTCTTGACTGAATCGCAGCTCTGCGCTGTGGGATGCTCTTCGGTTCGGTTCGACCGACCGTTACATTTAACAGACACAAATGTCTGCGTGTGTGTGTGTGTGTATGTTTGTGTTTGTGTGCGTGCCTGGAGTCTTCAGGAACTGTTAACATGCATGTTAAGTGCATGCTAAATGGCATCCACAGCAAATGCATGCTGTTAATGCAAATGGCATCCGATGCAGATTCGCTGCAGAGGGCCAAAGTTAACAGCGAGTGTCAGTGAGAGAAAAGAGAGTGACAGAGAGGGAGAGAGAGAGAGAGAGAGAGTGAGAGAGAGATGAAGAATGTAAGAACTGATCCAAAAAGACCCCACATTTTTTCCTGATTTGCTTGTTTATTTATGACCCTTTGCTGTTGACATTTATGTTCCACACGCATTAAGATCGGAAATATTTTTGCAAACATTCAACTAAACTGAGAAGAATTTAAAAAAAATATTTTTCCATATGGAAAGGATTATATTAAAATTTGTAGAGGAATGATTGGGTTTTACATTAAATTTTTCAAAATTTCCAAATGAAATACGTTTCTATATGAAAAGTTTTCGTATTGCGAAAGAAATAATTTATTAATATAAGTTATATTTAATGAAAAAAAATGTTTATATTTTGCGAATTCAAAACCCAATTTTCTATATCAAATCCATGTTCGACTCGTTTGAATTGTTTTTAGGCTAGAACCCGAACTAACCAACAATTACTAGGAAAACTTATTAGAACTTCCCATTTGCTACATTTTAAATCATATCTTAAAAGTCACTTAAAAGTCATAAAATTACAGATGTCTTTCGAAGACAAACCTTGGGATTGTTTTAGGTATTTCAACAAGTCCATTGATGATCTCATGAAAGCATTGCCTATGTCATAGTAAGGAAAACTTTTTAATGAGCTTATGCCACATAGAACTAGCATACTTATGCTGACAAGACAACTGAAGATCAGAGTCTCTCCTTTCCTGTAGCACATGCTAGGTGTGTTTTGTTGATAGCCACAAGGTGTGGTAATTTTAGGGCGACCCCAAAAATTGGGATCAAAATAAAGCCACACTGAGGCTGAGGCGCGTTCCAATTCCGCCGAATTGAACTTCGGGCGGGAGGCGGCACGTGCCGCTTGATTGCCTTCGCCGTGGCTGCGACTGTGCTGCATGCCACCATGAAGCGGCTCGGCAGACGCAGACGCAATCGCTCTCCCTTTGCGGGCTCTGCTCCGTAAAAATAAACAAATGGGAACTTCTGCGCCTGGGCTGATGGTGATCGTCTTTGGGTTTTTCATGCACAATAATGATCATCTACTTGGGCTATTTATGATGTATTTCTCGGTTAATTAGTTGCAGCTGGTTGCAAGGGCAGGGGCGGGGCATCTGCCAGTTGCTTCCGCGTGCATTCCCATCAGTCCATCATATGTATGTGTCCAACTCGAAAGTGATTTTCCCTTTTACTATATTTGGCAGCAGGGCGCGTCTGTCACAAGCATATATATCCATATCCATATATATATATATATATATATATATATATATATATATAGTAGCTGTGCCGCTTGATCGCTGATGGATGGTTGCCTAGCCTTCATCATTAATCTTCAGGGAGTCGCACTGCGTTCCAGGAATTGGAGCGGAACGCTGCAACACTTGGGAACTGCATAGGATAGTCGGCACAGATCCAACATATCTAAAAGCAACCTTAATTATCTGCTCTGCTGCCGTAATTTGAAGCTAAATAATTAAAAACTTAAATTAAGCACGTTATTAAAAGTTTCGTAATTGTTTTAAGTTACGCCCAATTAGCCGCCGGGGGCGGCCTTTAAAACTCACGCATTTCGTTGGCTGTTGCCAAAATACGTTTGCGATGTGGTTGAAACTGTTGTGCGCCTTGTTCTGGCTTCGAGTGGTGCTCCTGAAGCCACAGCTGGACGAGGATTGTGAGCTCTATGCAACAGATACCATGGTGAGGCTTGGGCAGGCGGAAATGGAACCTTTTCTTACTTGCTCTCCACTTTCCAGCATGACTTTTGCTGCGAACTGCATTACGAAACGCCGCAGTTTAGCGACTGCCAAACGGACTGGCACGACAAGATACACTTCACCAACGAGCAGGAGGAACAGATCTTTATGTTCGTGAGTATCCTCCCTTGCTAGGCAAGGTAAATTCCCCTGGTTATGCAGTCTTAGGTCAATTGTATAAAAGAGATTAAGAGTGAATCCCCTTCACAACAATTTGAGTCGGGGGAAAATTATACGTTAGCCTAGACTAGACGATGTGGGGTCGAAATATCATCAGAAGCTTAGCTGCCTTATTTGGTGACTGAAAAGATAGCCCAATGAAAGTCTGCTTAATCTGACTTAACATTTACTCTATTTAGCTAATAGATACCCTCTCTTGCAGTGCACCGCCGAATGCACGTACAACAGCACCGAATTTCTGGCCGCCAATCGTCAATCGCTGAATTTGCGCAACGTGCGCGAGCATCTGGAGAGCGATCTGGCCGACGCAGCGGATGAGGCGCTGCTCTACGAGACATACGTCAAGTGCGGCAAGCATGGTGCGTAACTCCAACAGCTGCTCAAATCTCCAATAATCCTTAACAAATCTTTTCCAGCTCTCACGCTGCTGAGTCACAAGGGCGTGCAGTCGCTAGCCAAGCGTCTGGCGCCGCACGGCTGTCATCCGTATCCCGGCCTGGTGCTGGAGTGCGTGGCCAACGAGATGATCCTCAAGTGTCCGCCCAAGCGTTTTCACCAGACGCCGCAATGCCGTGTCGCACGCGACTTTTTGCGCGAGTGCATGCAACATTTGAAATATGCATAGACACCGCGAGGCAACCTTATTGCAGTCTGCAGATGTAATAAAGGCAAGTGTTAAGAGCAAGTATCCCGGCACAAGATTTGGCAGCCACAGGCGGCCTCCAAGTAGCAGCTATATATGAAGAATTTCACCTAGTTGTAGGAGTTGGCAGTTGCTTACAAATTTAATCGGGGTCTAACGTTTATAGTTTACATACGGGCTAAATTACGCTAGAGACTAATGTGTAGCTAGACGGGCTTAACCAGATCTCCCTCCAGCTGCAGTGCATCCGACTTTTTTAGCTGCTTGTCAAAGCGTTTGTCAAATTTCTTTGCCTGCTTCTCGCTTAGCTCCGTGACGGCCAAGTGCTTTGTGTACTTCTTTAGCAGCTTCTTTCTGAGCTTCTCCAGGAAAATGCCATCGGGCTGCTTCGACACCAGCTTCAGCAGCTGCGCTGCCCAATCGAATTCGCCGGTCTCCTCCGCCACAGCAGCAGCAGCTGGTTCTGCTGCTGGTTCAGCTGCTTTCGCTGCGCCATTCTCGAGCTTGGACTTCTTTTTGGGCGGCACTTCCTGCTCCTGCTCCTCTTGTGCAGCTTCTGCCACCTTGACAGCCTTGGCCGCCTCCAGTTGCGCCTGCTTGGCCTCCTTCATTTTGTTCAGCTCCTTCTCGAGTATGTCCCACACCTGGGTTGCTTGCTGGCGAGGCATGCGCATGCAATTGCCCACAAAATTCTCAAATTTTGCTTTCTTGCGGGGCACATTGTCCACGCTCTGGAGTCGCTGAAATGCGCTGCGCACGGACGCCGTCAACTCGTACTCTTTGCTGTCCAGTATGGCGCGTATGATGTCCATCCAGCTCTCTTGTTTCTGGGCATTCTTGTTCTTCGGCTCCTTGGGCACAAAGTTCTGGTTGGAGTACTTCTGTGCCTCCGAAATGCACTTGGTGTGCGCAACGTACTCCTCATCGTAGAAATCTTTGAGGCAATCCATGCACGACACGTTTTTTGTCTTTCCACGGCATCGTGTCTGATAGTGCTTCTCCACAGATGGCTTTTTAACGGACTCGCCGCAAATGTTGCATGTAAAGAAAACCATTTTTGTTGAGGATTTCCAGCGGGACAAGCAGACGCGGTGAGTCCCACGTGCGTGCTCTGGTATGTGTTATGCATATCGTTAATCGATAGTTAGACAGCGATATTAACGTTCTGTTTTTTCAACGGTTCTGCCACTGTTGACCTCATACGTTCACAAGGGACTGCAAAAGTGGCCAATCTGTTTAGTCTAGTCAACTATTGTGTAACTGTTGTGTGTATGATATCGGTAGTCTGACTATCGATACGCGTCTGCCAGCTCTGTTAAAGTAGAAAAACCGTGGGCAAGTGTGGTAGCATTGAGCTTTCGTCCGACAGCCTTGCACTTTTGCCATCTCTAGCCGCCAAACAGCTGATTCACGCACGGTAAACGCGAAATGTGGCTGGCAATGTTGAAATTGCAACGAATCGCGCCGCATGGAACGCTACGCACTTTGACAGAAAATTGCATCAGGATGAGTAGCCAAGTAGTAACAGATGCCAAGGATACGCTTGGGCAAAAGCCGCCACTCAAATACGAACGCCAGCCGAATGTGCTGCGCAAAAAGTTGAGCTCTGTCGTGCCGGGCTCTGTGAATCTGCAGGTGCTGGGCGCAGGCGCCAACGGAGCACCCGGCGCTGTTTATCTGTTCACCGACCAGTCCCGTTACCTGTTCAACTGTGGCGAAGGCACACAGCGGCTGGCGCACGAGCACAAGACGCGTCTGTCCCGTCTGGAGCACATCTTCGTGACACGCAACACGTGGACAACAGTGGGCGGGCTGCCCGGCCTGGCGCTCACCATACAGGATGCGGGCGTGCGCAATGTGGGCCTGCATGGACCACCGCATCTGGACACCATGCTCCAGAGCATGCGTCGCTTTGTGGTGCTCAAGAATCTGCAGATGCAAACAATAGACAGCACACTGGGCGCCCAGTTTGAGGACTCCATACTGACCGTGCAGCCGGTTGTGCTGCGCAGCGAGCAGCAGCTAGCGCAGCCCGTACTCAGCTATATATGCAAGCTAAAGCCACGGCCGGGCGCGCTCAATCTGGTCAAGTGCGTGGAGGCAGGCGTGCCGCCCGGTCCGCTGCTGGGACAGCTCAAAAATGGACAGGATGTGACCCTGCCCTGCGGCAAAGTTGTGTATTCGGTGGATGTAACGGAGCCAGGCGAAACGGCGCTCTCCTTTGTCTTCATAGATGTGCCCAGCGAGCAGTACCTTAGCTCCTTACAGGCCCAGGCCGAGCAGTACAAACAGCTAGCCGCCTCAGAGCTAACTGAGGTGGCGCTGGTCGTGCACTTTAGTCCACCCGAGCTGGTAGTTAATGCGCATTATAGCAGCTTTATGGCGGCCAACTTCTCGCCCGGCACCCAGCACATTTATCTCAATTCGCCGCAGAATCCCTTCTCTGGCTATGCGGCCGCACATCGCATTCAATATCAGCTGCATCAGCTGGCGCCGCGCATCTTTCCACTGCTCGCCGAGTCCACAGACCTGCAACACAGCTGGCAGAGCACGAAGCTTAGCCACAGCCTCAAGAAAACAAAGCTGGAAAACGGACACGGGGCGGAGGAACCAAAGGAAGACAGTGAGGTGCCCATAAAGGAAATGAAGCAGCAAGCGGAACAGGGCGTTGTTTCCATGACCAGCTTTCATTTAAGGCCCAAAAAGGGTGAGTGAAAAGAATCATTTATATCATATCATGTCGTGTCATATTAAATATCATATCATATCATCACCTATCATATCATATCGCATATCAAAATCCAATAATTTTTACATATTCACATGGGAACTTCTTGCTATATCACATGAAATGCCCAAGATATATTTTTGGGGAATATCTATATATACCATAACATAATGCCAGCTTTTGGGGATCATAGCGCAGGCTTTTATTTTGTTTATCTATTATTTATTGTCCCAAACTGGGAGTGATTCCTATTTTATTATGCATTTGCGAAAATGTTTTTTTAAAGTTGGGTAAATTGTAGATATTTTTTTATCAACCAAAAATTTATGTTTACATATTTTTAACAATTGTTCTTGGAGTTTTTTTTTTGGTGCTTGGTTCAACACTATAAATGGAACGTTTAACCTTTTTTCTTTCCATAATTTGGAATTTATTTGGTTATGTGTTCCTCAGCAGCTCGCTAAATTTTAACTTTATGGAAATTCTTTTGATAATCTATCTACAAAACTCGCTCTTGCTCTCGGAGTTTTCTTAGGGGGTACACTCTTCTATATGAGAACTCCCATATTTCTGTTTTCTCTTCAACTTCTCTCCGATTGTGAACCTTCTTTAAGATCGTCGGCTCTGCTTACCCACGATCTCTAGTCTTAAGCTCACATTTGTTCTCTTCACGTTCGAATCCGGCTTCTCACCTGCATCTATTCACCACCTGCTTCATACACTGCCACGCTTGCTTCAACTCATGGAATCTAATTAACAAATATCCCGAACGGAACCTGATTAATTTATCCCGAACTCGCAAATCTTTACGCCACAGGATTGGATCGCACACTGGAGGCCAAGCTGACGCCCGAGGAGTACATCAATGAGACGCATGCAGTGCCCTGCTTCACGGAGCTGCTCGCTCAGCTGCAGGCCGACATCCGGGATACATTGAAGACGCCGAGCAACAGCTATCCGCGCATCATATTCCTCGGCACGGGCTCCTGTATACCCAATAAAACCCGCAACGTGAGCTCCATTCTCATCCAGACTGCCGCGGAGGCGTTTATGTTGCTCGACTGCGGCGAGGGCACCCACGGCCAGATCGTGCGTCTCTATGGACGTGAGCGTGCGCGGCAGGTCATGCAACAACTGCAGGCGGTTTATGTTTCTCATCTACATGCGGATCATCACATTGGACTCATTGGGCTGCTGCGCGAGCGACAGCGTTTGGCGCCGGCGTCGCCGTTACTTCTCCTGGCGCCGCGTCAGATCGAACCCTGGCTGCAGTTCTACAATCGTCAAATCGAGTCCATCGCGGATGCCTACACGTTGGTGGGCAATGGCGAGCTGCTGGAGCAGCCGCTGGCCGGCGAGCAGGTGGACCAGCTGGGCATTGCCTCGATAGCCACCTGCCTGGTGCGGCATTGCCCGCATGCATTCGGCGTGAGCCTCACGCTGCAGGCGCAGCACGAGGGGGCACCCATTAAGGTTACCTACAGCGGCGACACAATGCCCTGTGCAGATCTAGTGGAACTGGGACGCAACTCGACGGTGCTGATACACGAGGCAACCATGGAGGATGACCTAGAGGAGGAGGCGCGCATCAAGACGCACAGCACCATCTCACAGGCCATACAACAGGGCCGGGATATGGAGGCCAAGCATATCATTCTGACCCACTTCTCGCAGCGCTATGCCAAATGCCCGCGTCTGCCCAGCAGCGAGGATATGCAGCACGTGGCCATTGCCTTTGACAATATGCAGGTCACCGTGGATGACCTGCAGCATTATCACAAGCTCTATCCGTCGCTGCTGGCCATGTACGCCGAGTACACCGAGGAGCTGGAGCAGCGAGCGGTCAAACGCGAGCTCAAGCAGGAAAGAAAACGCAAATTGGCACAAACGTGATCTGAGCTTTTAGTTTATACGTGACAGATATCGAGAAATCGTATGCAACCAAATGTTGCCATAAAATCTGTGACATTGTTTATACGAGCTTGCGAATTGTGTTAAGATATTTATGATAACTGGCATGATAAGGAAACTTAAGAAAAATCTTGCTTTAGCTGAACTTACGTAAAGGTACTCCTAACTGTATTAGGTATTATATATTAAATTATATACTGAAACAACGTTTATGCGAGTTGTTCAATTGTGATAAGGCTCATGGTATGTATTTATTAGCATCGAATACGCGAAATCAATGAAAACTAAAAAAATATTTAAGCTCCAAAAAACTGAATAAACCTGAAGTCATGACTTAAGCCAGCTCGTTTCTTATTTTTCTATTATAAATATATATATATCAAAAATATTTCAATATATTTATTCCACTTCCTTTGCTAATTAACGCTGCATAAATATTTAATCACAATAAAGCAAGCATCGTATAAACATAATTACAATTAAGAAACGTAACTTATTTATATTTTATATTTATAATAAACCACAAAAAGCGTTTAATCTTGATAACTGCCACGTGTAAACAATTTCCCTTGCACTATTTACATTCAAGCTGATTGTTAAACAACCTACAATAAATAAATTGTATTTATAACTAGAAATGAAAACAATTTATTTGTTTTTGGTGTTGGTTTATTATGATTATTTTTTTTTTTTTTTGTTTTTGTTTTGTTTTGTTTATTTTATTTACTTAATACGCATTCGCTTGCAACAGGTGTCTGTGTAATAAACGCTCGTAAAATTACAAATTTAGTTTTTCAATAATATTATGTAAATGTATAATAATCGCACATTAATTTATTAGCATTGTCGACACAACAGAAGGGCACTTGTTTTTATGCATTTATTATTAAATATAATTATTTATTTATTTTCCGTTTTAGTCAATTAACATTTTATATTTAAGGCACTTGGTGTTCAACGTTTTAAAATGGCGCAAAATCAGTTTTGATTCCTACGCAAAAATCATAAACAATTTCTCTGATAATATTTTTTTGTTTTTTTTTTTTCAAATTAATTTTTTTTTTTTTGGAAATTAGCTGTGACTAGTTAAAATTAGTAGGTAAACGAAAAAATAAGTTTATAGAAAAAAATATCTTAGCTTCAACTTTTGGATATTTGGTGTGTATGTGTGTGTGTGTGTGTATGTGTGTGTGCGGGCTGTGTGGTTCAAACTTCTGGTTAATATTTTTGTGTATTTTTTTTTATAAATAAACATAATTTCAACATTTCTTTAAAAATAAATAAATAGTTGTACATTATTTAAATTATAAGAGAAACATCGGCAAAATTAAGCAGCTGATATTGATTTTTTTTTAACAATTGTTTTATAATTCATATAAATAATTAATAATTGCTTTTACCTTGGCTGGGCTTTGGACTACAAACTCAATAAGTTTAGAGTTGAATTTCTTGCACAATTTACTTTCCTTTTTTCTCTCCACTTGTTGCCAAGGCAATAGACAAATATCGTAACGGTTCGTAATGCTCTTTCCACCATTTCGAGTTTTCAGGCACGTTCCACATAGTTGCCGGGGAATGTGCCAAAGCAGCCCGTCCGCTGCGAAGTGCCGACGAACCAGCCATCGTCGCACTTCTCCAGCACCTGCACCAGATCCCCCTCAAAGATCTCCAGCTCATCGGAGTTTTGTGGTCGGTATTTGTACAGCGCACGATAACTATGATTCCAAAGTACAAGAAATTAATTAACTAATTGAATCTTTGATTATATTTGCTCGATACGTACGTCAAGGGCTCCGAGCTGGTGTCCACATGAAGGGCGTCTGTTTTGTGCAGCGTGCGGGTCTCCTTCAGTATGCCATTTGGCGGATGTGCTCCGTTCTGGGTCAGCGTATTGAACTCGTTGTTGATATTTGTGCGCAGCACGTCCAGATTTGGACGCAGATTCGTGGTACTCTGAGTGTTGATTACGGTTGTGGTTCTAGCTGCAATATCTTCGGCACCAATGTCGGTTAAGACCTGCAAAAAGTACATAAATGTGTAATGAAAATAAATAGACATCTAGGAAGAACTCTAACGACAGGGGCAAAAATTGAGGTGGACAAGGAGAACACGTTATAATCACAAATTCGTTAACTGACAGGCTTGTAATGGCTTAGTAATTTGCGGGATCAAAAAGGGATATGTGAATTTTGAGGTCACCAGAATTGTTTCCTCATTTAACCAAATTTGCAGCTTAGACTTACCTCCACATAGGAGACCGGGAAAATGCCCTTGCGATTGGCTATTTTGCCCTCAAACCAATTGCCGTCGACGCGACGTGTCAGTGTGACCAGCTCGCCCTTGTTGAGGGACAGCTCCACGCCGGACTGCGCCTGGAAGTTGTACTTGGCACGTGCCTGGCCCTCCGATGGACGCTTGCCAGGCGTGCGGGCGCCATCCCGACTGACAATCTGTGACAGAGAAATGGGACAATAAATGGGAGTGGCAAATGGAAGTGCAACTAGAGGATTTACCTCGACATAGCTGGCCGGCAGCAGTCCAATCATGGCATTATGCTCGCCCTCATACCAGTTGGGATCGATCTGTCGCCTGATGTATATGGTGTCGCCCTTGCGGAACGAGAGCTCCCTACAAACAGAAGAGATTTCGTATTATTATATTCATTTGATTTTAAAGTTTGGTTATTGCTTACTTGGAGGTCTGTCCCTGGAAGTTGTAGAGGGCCCTGGCAACTGTTTTGGGTCCCACCAGAGATTTGAGCGTTACGTCTGTGGGGAAATCATCGTAACGATTCAAGGCAATTGGCGATTTCTGTGAGGGTGTAAAATTGTCGGTGTGTCGTCGCGAATTCATGTCCTGCAGCTCCTGTAGATACTTGCGTCTGCGCTCCTCCTGATACAATTTCTGCATATGCTCCGCTTGTCGAATAGCTAATTCCTCCTCCGATATGTTCTGCTTGTACTCATGCCTTATCGGTGTCTTGAAGTGTATGTTCACGTCTGTGTCATATAACAATTGGGGAAATGCCGTAAATAAATATCAAGTAATATAGCCAAAACAAATCTTTCGATTTAGCTCAGTTTTTGTGGTGGGTTCCAGTCCTGGTCTTAAGCTCAAATCTTGGCTGATTATTATTATTAATGAACGACGCTAAAAATAATATACAAATGGGGGGAAACGACTCGTAGGGCAAGTGTAAGACGAGCTAACCGCAAAAAATTGTCGCCGCTGTGTTACGAAACCAGCCTCAGCTCTTATCTGTAACTGTAGCTGTATCTGTATCTGTAACTGTCTATGTATCTGTATCTGTAGCTGTAGCTCTATCTCTATCTGTAGCTAGTCTGTGCTTGCCAATTGGTAAGCAAATAAACAACGTTAACTGACGCTCGCTCCGCTGGCTGCTGCCTGCTGATGAGCGCACGCCACGCTAAGCAGATAGATAGACAGAGACCAGAGCTGCAGATAACCCAACCATCCAGCAAAGTCCAAGTGGGAAAGTAGAAAAACAATAGTAATATACATAAGCACGGTCTTCCAATTGAATTAACGTTTCTCATCGTATCGAAAATGAGCCACAATTGAAGCTAATGCGCATTAGCATCCACTGATAGCTAAATGAGCCGTCAATTGAAACAAAAGTGGTGCCAACTGGGCGTGTGCTTTGAGTGGGTGGCTCTCTGACTGATGGGCAGCCGGTCAAAGTGGTTGTTGAAACAATTTCTTAAAGTAGCCAGAGCATTGCTCAAGCTGTGCTCAAAGGGTTTATTTGTTTTATGGGCTTATATAAGAGCTCGCTCATGATTAGCTTCAAATGATATTAGAGCTCCTCTATCATTTGAAATTTAAGCAATGGATCAATTAAAAATTGTACAATAAATTTATTGTAATCATTATTCCTGTGTCGACCATCAGATGAAATTTACGAACAATTTTTCTTATGAACATTAAAGGGGCTACAATGTGGCTGTCAAAATTAACCATATGAAAAATTTAACTCTCACAAAAGACATACATATTTCGCTGGCAATAATTTGTTGGATAAAGGAAAATGTATAATGTAATTGCTTTTTATCCTAAAACAAAGAAATGTTTTTTCTGAAAAATGAGTTCCCGAATGGAAAACGATAAAATCTATTATATATTAAGTGCTCCAAAATTAAAGGCTCAAAATAGATAAATCACAGAGTAGTTTCTCTTAATGATAAACTTCTAACGAGATGATAATAAAATCAAGAAAAATAATGGGTATGCAAATGCTGATCTTCAATTTATCACTACTCGCATTAAGCTAAACCCAATTGAAGCTCCGCGAAGTGTTTTTATACCAAGCAAAACTCTTTAATGAACAGCTAAAAATACTTGCTAACGAACTAAACCTCGAAAAAGACATTTAGCCAAAGTGATTTACAAGTCCAACAACAGACAGAGCTGTGGTATATATTTATTCTGGCCTTGTGCCGCATAGTTGGGAGTCTTTCCATGCATTTGCATGTGACGTGACCGCGTTTCTCATGAACTTGGGAGCGAATTAATAGAACGCTCAACTGATATGAATGCCAGTTAAACACAATTAGAAATCAAACAAAGTCTCAAAGCGAATTCTAATGGAATTGCGCAGCAGCCGAACAAGACTGAGATCCCAGCCGACCCACAAATAAATAGAAATTTTTCTTTTGTGTAACTGCCGCAAGACAATTTCATGGTAACTTATTTCGAAGGTGTTGAATGGGGGGAGGGGGTTGGGAAAGCTAACAGCTGCACAAATATTTGTTGTGCTTGTACAATGACAAAATGCTTAAAAAACCATAAACCATAAAGCACAACATAAACAACAACAACAACTTTTGTTGTACAAGAAAAAAGCTTAATTGTCACTTGAGAGATTTTTCACTTTCACTGATTTGTTGTGGCGCCGCAATTTGCAGCGTTTTGAAAGTGTTGCCGATTTTCATCTTTCACTGCACACAACAACAACAGCTCAAACACACACACATAGGTGTATGCAGTTGCCCGCCCAGTTATGCCGGCTTTTCCATGGCTTTTCCTGCCTTTTAAGCGGGTTAATCAGCTATTTAAAAGCATATTATAGTACACCCAACCCCAGGCCCTGTCAGTTAGTTAGTCATCCAATCAATCAGAATCGCTGGCAACTCATCGGATAGTAATCTCCGAAGGCTTTTAACAGCCTGATAAAGACCGCGAGAAGTCTCGATTCACTGAACAGACAAACCCGAACCCGAACCTGTTTCCACAAACCGATCTCAATGCGGCACGTACCCAACTGCTCTGTAGCACGCGTTGCGCTCAACTGAAACCGAAACTGAAATATAAAATGAATGAAACTGAAAGACTGAGAAACTGAGAGACTGAGAAACTGAGAGACTGAGCAAGTGGGAGACTGAGCTAAAAGCCCCCATTTTGAGCTTGTCGCGTAAATTCGTTTAGTTATCGTCGTACAACGAATGCCGTTTTCTTTGGCGCCCCTCCCCAAATCTCACGTTTATTCAGACTTTACAGCTGCTGCTGCTTCTTCTCATTGTTATTGCTGTGAATTGCTTGACAGTGCTTACAGTGGGGCAATTACCTCACGCACTGCTGATAAGAGAAGCGCGTGTTACGTGAATTTGATGACACATTGCTTTGCAGTGGCTCAAGACAAGGGTCAATTGATTAAAGTGGAATTTTAGATACTTAAGAATTACTTATCACTCTTTTTCATACGTAATTATTTATATTTTATTCACTACCTACATACTTGAAAATAAATGTTATCCTAAAAGCTGTTACATTGCCATCTAACAGCCACATTTAACATGACATTAACATTTATTTTTTTAAACAACACATGTTAATGAGCATGTCAATTGATGTTACCGTTATTTAGCCATGGTTCGCTTTAAAAAAAATATTAAAAAAACAATAATTCTTATCAGTGAGCTTTCACAATTAAATTTGAGAAATGTTATATCACAGAATCTTAAATCTCAGGCTTTTAGAAAGAATAAGAACTTTATAAATAAATAAGTGATTCGAAGAGTAAAGTACAAGTACATACTTGAATTATGAAATATAAGTTTCCAATAAAAATATGTAAGAATTTTGTTTTCTAAAGTGTTGAAAAAGAGAGTCAGCCTCTACCCCCAAAGATTTATGCAAATCTGTTTGTATGCAAGTCTTTGGCTAATATAATATAATTGATTCTGAACAATATTTGACTTTTTGAAGTAAATGGAAAATGGGATCATTAAGTTGATTTTAACTATTCAAATGCTCAATTTTTTTTTAAGAAATAGTTTGATATATTGAAATAGAGTTTATATTTGACAGGATATTGAATCTGCCTCCCATTTTGTACTTATTTTTCGTTACATTTTGAGTACTTTAAGTTACACTTTTTCTCCAGTCACAAGACTCGAATCTAAAGATCGTTGCACCTCACAAGCTCACAGCGCCCAACTACGTGCTGTTTTTTTTATCACGAACTCGTGTAAAACGTGAGCTGCATAAAAAAAGCGTCGAGAGAGAGGGAGAGAAGACAATCTCACTCTTTCAGTATCGGTTGCTCTCTGATTCTCTCTCTCTCTGTCTTTCTCTCTTTCTCGCAGCGCGACGTTTGATAACGAGTTTTTTTGCATTTCGCGAAAAACCGTGAGAAAGCGGCAAACAGGAAGGTCGTTTAATCAAATGAGAAAGTGAACGTTTTTGGACTCGAGGGGGCGTGGCAGGCGGCTTTTCGTATGCCTCAAAAAGTATTAAGTGGGGGGAGGGGCAGTCATATTATATGAGCTTATACTGACTGCGGCTCAGTTGTTGCTGCTGCAGTTGCTGTTGCTGTTGTTGCAGCTGTTGTTGCTGTTGATGTTGCTGCTGCTGTTGATGTTGCTGCCACATGAGCAGCGGCATCGAGGCGCCTATAGCATGCCGATTGGCCAAATATGCCTGCCGCTGCGCCGGCAACGGTGTGTGTGGCAGACCCACAATGTGATAGCTCATTGTGGTTGTTGTTGCCGTTGCAGTTGTTGCCGCTGCTGCTGTTGCTGCTGGCAGTGGTGGCACCATGGGCGCCGCTGCTGTCTCACGGTGCAGCCAGAGCAGCTTGCCACAGTTGGGCATGTCGCAGACGCTGTGATGCAGCGCGGCGGGCGTTATCTTGTTGCAGTTACCGCTGTCGGCGCCACTGCTCAACGGACGCTGTTGCGACCAGGCATCGTAGTTGTTGTTGTCCACGCGCCACCAAAGCTGTTGCTGTTGCTGCTGTTGCTGTCGCCGCGGCTTGTCATCTGTCAGCTCTAAATCATTGCAGCTGCTGTGCAGCTTTTGATGCGTCTGTCGCCAGTGCACGCGATTGCCACCGCCCGCTGCGGAGGGACTGCGTCTGCTGCGGCTGATGTTGTTGTTGATGTTGTTCCGGCTACTGTTGCTGTTACCAGGTGCATGCTGCAGCGCGTAGGTGTTGCTGCGTCGCGGCGCTAGCGTTTGATGTATCATGCCTCGTTGTATTATTATTATTATTATTTTCTCATTTATTTGAGTATATTTTCTATTTTGTGCACCGCTCAGTGGTGCATTATGTAAGTGGAAATTAACGCGCGTCGCGTTCTATTTTTTGCCGCATTTAATTAGGAATTCGAGTCGAGCGACGTTTTTGGCACGGAAAAGTGAAACTAACTGAATGGGAAAAAAGGCCGCGACAGGCAACTCACCTGCGACCAGGTTTTGTTGTTTTTCTAGCCGCCACATTTTGGCCATGGCAACGTGTATGTCGCCGGGCACTGGGGGTGGATTTCCGTTTCGGTCTCGGTCTCGGGCTGGGCTCGTGCCACGGACAGGTGGCGCGTGCTAAGCGGGTCAAAGCTGTCCGGCAGTCTGGTGGTTTATGTTTCTGTTTCTGTTGTTATTGGCGCTATCGATTAATTTGCACGCGGCGCACCTTCAAAATGCTATTGCAGCAATTGCGGAAACTTGTTCTTAAAAACGGAATTTCTCAAAGGTCATTGAATGTGAAACAGCACGCACGGGCGTAGACTGCAAACTTTTCCAAAGGGGCTGGCTACAAAATCGTTGTTCGATCAGATTTTCGTAAGGTCATTCAATTGTGGTCAACATGCATTAGAACACGTGTAGAACAGATCATATTTAAAATAGCTTTTGATAAGCACTGCTCTTTTGATTAACTTTAATACATCCCACTCTGAACTCTTATACGAGTGTAGAAATATAAAATTTGTAGCACACATATTTTAAGTGCAATAGCAATAAGTATTAAGGTTCAAGAGCCTTAAGCTTATGAGCCATTATATATCTAAATATTTAAATCGATTTGTAAAAGATTCAATTGAAATGTGAACCCCATTTTTAGACTCTAAAAAATTATTGATTTGAAAACTATTTTATCGGAGTTGAGCAATAATTTTAGTACAAGTTATTTTAGTAGAATTGCAAGCAACTGTTTATCAAGCCCAACGTTGGCGAACTGGAGACTCACCTGTGCCCGAATCAATGTGGTCACCGTTGCTGTAGGGGCTGTAGGGCTCGTAGAATGAGTTCGAGTTGGTCAGGCCCTTGAGCGGTGGCTGTGGGGGTATTGGTGGTGCGGCGCTCGAGTCAAAATCTGCGCCAACAATGACAATGCAAGACAGGAATATGGATATATGTAATTTCGAAATGTCTAGAAAAACCAATTGTTTAAGCCAAGCTCGAAGCCAAACCCAGAAAGAACCAAGCGTCTACCAGATTAGAGAGCAACCCCAAAGACACACCCACTGTCCACACTGCCAAGTTCTGTTGTTACCTTTAAATGTGACCGCCAGGGCGTGGCGCTTGAGACGCTCCAAGCTGTTGGCCGGACAACGCCGGGCAGCGCTGCTTGCCGCATCCGCGCCATCGGGCACATAGCGCGCCTTCGGTCGATGCTTGTGCGGATCGAACGGCTGATTGGCAAAGATGTCCGTCTGCCTGGCCGGTCGCGGCGGCGAGTTGGAGCTGGCACGCAACGCCGGCTGTCTCTGCGGTTTCTTGGGCAGCGCTGGCGTGCGCTGCGGATGTTTGTGCGCCACCCAATCGCCGCTCAAATGTGGCGATATGCTCTCGTGTACGTCCCGCAAATCCGCCAGGGAGGTGGACAAATAGCGCTGAGGCAGGCTTTGTGCCTGGCCAGCGGACTCCGGTGGCTCCGGTGACTCGTAGCGCTGGCGCAGCGACTGCACGTGGCCCGGGTTGGAGCAGCTGTTGCTGCTGTGGCTGCGCGTGGGACTCGCCTTGGCCGGCAACAGCTCGGCCGTCTTGCTTATGATGTCTATGTGCGGCATCAGCAGGCCGCGCTGCTTGCGTCTGCCGCGCTCCGGCGAGGGAGTTGCTCCATGTCGCAGCTCGAATTTGTGCGTCAGCTGGCTGACATCCTGCAGCGGCAACGCATCCGTCGCGTTGCCCGAGGCGTCTTTTGATCCTGTCTTCAGTGCAGGATCGCTGCGCGCCTTCCGCAGCGTACTAAGCCCAAAAAAATCACGCCGTTCATTGGTCTGTTGCTCCCGCTGGATGCTCTCAAATCTCTGCTTCATCTTCTGCACCTCGCCCGTGTACACGCGCTGCAGATACGAGCTGGAGCAGGCAGAGGCCTGCGACTGGGGGGACAAACTCCTGGAGCGATAGTAGGCATCGTAGAGCTCAAGGCTGCCGTCGGGTGAACCATGCTCGTAGCTGAGCAGCTCTTCCTGCCGCTCGTCTTCGGGCGGACGATCGGGCGGGCTGTGCAAGTGAAAATTTACGCGTGCTGCCGGACGTTCTCCATAAATGCCACTCAAATCTGTGAGCGAGTTGCTCAGCTCCGTATGTATCATGTGACTCTGGCTGTGACTGTGACCCTGGCTGTGACTGTGACTGTGACTGTGCCTGGCCTGCTGACGCGCCTGCATATTCTGCTCGATGAGACGCATGACCTCCGCCTCGTCCGGGGAGCTGTCCTCGCGTGCATGGTATATGGTCTTGGGCGGCTCCTCGAACTGCCGCTCTTCAAAGTACTGAATCTTCTGGTTAATGGGATTCTCCTTGTCTTGATCCTGTCGCTCTTGCTCGGCCTTGGCAATAGTTTTCGTTGGCTTAGGCTCGCTTATGGGCTTGGGTCGCGGCGGCACCTCGGGCGGCTTGGTCAGCGTAAGCTCCGCATTCTTGGCGGCAATGGCGCCGCGTGTCTCCCGGGCGACCATCACGGGGGATTGGCTGCGCGTGGCACGCGGCAAAGTTTGCGCCTGTTGCTCCTCCCGCTTGCGCAGCACCGGACCGAGCAGCTGCTCCTTGCTGATGTTCGAGTTGCAGCGCACCTTCAGCGTGTTGGCATGGCTACTGGGCCTTGAGCCCTTCTCCACGGTGACCACATATTGCTCCTCCACGGCTCCGGGCTGACGATTGCCCGCATAGATCTCGTTCAGCTGCTGTGTTATCTTCTTGATTTGATCCTTGGACAGAGTGCTCACCAAATCGTTGCTCAAATGACGTTCCGTCTGTCGCTCCGTCTGTGGCTCCCGGCTGTGGCCTCCAGCTTCCAGGCTGCTGGCCAGATCCGCTACTGTGTTCCGGCGCCATTGACGCTGCACGGGCGGCAGCTCGGCCTCGGCACGTGCCTGTTGCTTCAGCAGCTGCAACTGCTCGAAATTCTCGCGCAAATCCTCCACGGATTTCTGCTTGGCATGCAGCGCCTGATCCGCATCCTGCCGCCACTTGATCTCGTTCACGTCCTTAGAGCGAAAGTGCAAGTCGCGCTCGCGCTGATCCATTTGCAGCTTGCCCACCAGATATTGCAGCTCCTTCTCGGCGCGCTCGTGCAGACGCACCTTGCGCCACTCGTCAAAGTCCAGTAGCTCCGCATCCTTGCGCAACGGATGGAAATTGCTCGCCGAGGTGGCACGTTCCAACTGCCCCACGCGCTCTAATGTGCTATAGAAGCGATTCAGCTCGGTGAAGCGTTCGCAATTGTTGCGATAACGACAGCTCGGACTGTGCCGCTCCAGCTGCACCAGCGACGTAGCGCTGTGCGCCAGCTCACCACACTGATAGAGCCCGTCTCCAGCAGCCGCACCACCCGACTGCCGCTTGCTGCGATCATCGGCGCTGCTCAGGCTGCTGGCGCGTGCCACCGCCTGTTGTTGCTCCTTGTCCTGACGCTGGCTCGATCGCAAGCTGTCTATGCGCCGGCGCGAGGGGGAGCGCACCTCCCGATGCTGTGTCTGATGCTGTGTCTGCTGCTGCTGCTGCGGCACGCGCACCTCACGCGTCGGCGAAAAGCGACGCCCCAGCTCCGTGTGTGGCGACTGTGGCCGCGCGATGTCCGTCATAGCTGCGGGCCTGACTGGGCCGGGCTGAGCCTTGCTCTCGTACTTCCAGACGAGATCCTCTATGCAGCTGCCGGGCGCCTGGGCCGACGTGTAATCGTAGACATCCTCGGCATAGCCAGGCTCCACTAGCGAGCAGTACTTGTAGTCGCTGGTGCCTCCATTGATCAGCTGCGGCAGCGAGTGGGGCGTGTGGGTCGTGTGGGTTTGACCCTGCTTGGCATTGTAATCGTTCCAGAAGTGGGTTTTCTCGCGTACCGTTTCGCTGTACGATTGCTGGGCAATGGCAGCCGTGGGCTTGGATTTATTTAAAGTGGTTTTGGTGGTGGTGCTCGAACGCTTGCGCGGCACATGACCCTCGCTGCGGCTGGTCTGCAGCTTGTTGGGCTTCGTCTTGCCCATATAGGTTTTGGGCGGTGCTATGGGCACATACTCCTGCCGCACCACCGAGTCGATGGAGTAGGTCGAGTTGCTGCGCGGCAAACTCTCCTGCGAGGCGCTGCGATGCACTGTGGCAATTGCCTGGACAGTTTGACCCTGCGCCTTGCTGCACTTGGGCAGCACTTTCTTCAACGCCCGACTGCAGTCCAGCAGCTGCTGTGGTCTGACCTGTGGCAGGCACATGGTGTGCCTCGTGGTGGTGCTGACGGTGCTGTGGCGCAAACGGGGCAGCGACTTGCTCCTCACAGTGTGTTGCGCCTTGCAGGTGGCATAGGAGCGCACCGCCTCGCGCACCTCCTGCGGGGATTTCAGCGAGGGATCGCGGAGTATATTGGTGCTCGCCTCGAAGTTGGTGCGACTAGGCGGCAGCGTGCTCTCCAGACGCTTCTTCTCCTCGGCGAAGCTGCGCTCCTTGGAAATGCTGCGTCCAAACGCGACTGGACTGCGGCTCGAGTGGCGGAGCGCGAGCAGGCGTGCGGCGGGGCGACGACTGGGACTCACGGAGCGCAGGCGCGCATGATGCTGATGCTGATGCTGCTGCTGGTGCTGCTGGACTCGCAGCAGGCAGCCGTCCTTGGTGCGAGTCTCCTTGGTGGCGGTCAGGGTGGCCAGCAGCGTGGACACCGCTCCGGTGGACTTGGACCGGCAAATGGGCTCTCGACGTGAGCTGGCGACCTTGCGCAGGGTTAGGCTATTGCTGCCGCCGGGAGGCAGAAAGCATTGATCATGGCGCGACTTGGCGCAACTGCTCGTGATCTTCTCCACGCGCACGGTGCTCTTGGTGCAGGAGGAGCGGCGATTCGGTGGCAAAGGAGCCGTCTCCTGCAGCTGCTGCTGCTGCTGCTGCTTCTTGCTCAGGGGTATAAAAGAGGGCAAATTCTTGGAGAAATGCGAAAACATTTTGTTAGCTGAATTTGTCGGCGGCGGTGGCGGTGGCGGTGGTGGTGGGGGAGGTGGTGTTGGTGGTGCTGGCGGAGCAGCTTTAGTCTCTGCTTGCTCTAGCACTTCCTTGGAATCCTCGAGCGGCTTGGTGCTCACGCGTATTTTGGTTAGCGTGGGCGTTATCTGAATAAATTCGAATTCTTCCACAATTTCTTTTTTTTTTTTTGTTTTTAAGGAAGGTAAGAATAGATAGAGTTCGTATTAGGATAGTCTTAACGCAGCGACTTTATAGAGGGTGCCCGGTGCTGCAGTGCTTCAAAGAACGCTCGACGCATTTGCGGATAACAACTTCTAGTGTGGCAGTGGGTGTGTATAGTAGTATATACCAAATGGTTAAGAAAAGTACACTCAAGTTAGGTTTAAATAGTTGAAAGAGCAGGAGAGAAACCCAACACCAATTAAACAATTAGTATAAATCAAATTGCGCCTTAATCTTAGTTATTAATATTTAACTACAGTTGACAAACAGTCTAGCTCAAAGTTGAGCTCTTACCTTTGGGTTTCTCGGGCGCGGGCTTACGGAAGCCCAGCAAAGGCGGTTCCCCTCCCGCCTGTAAGCTCTTGTAGGCCTGTCGCTGCTCCACGGGACTCAGCGGACTGCTAACGGGTAGCTCCTTTTTGCGGAAGACTAGATTCGAATCGCTGGTATAACCCGATTCTTTGGCCAGAGCTCTGTGTGGGCAAAACAAGAGTTTAGATACAAGATTTTAGATTTTAGAATGTGAAAACTCGTACCTTGACAAATTGCCTTCTGTGTAGAGCGGCGATAATTTCGATTGTTCCAAATTCTAGTTTGTAGTAGAAAGAAAAATGCATATTATAAAACGTGCTAAGAAACGCTTTCTTTAAGTGAAACGATTTCAAGGCATTAATTTTTTCCATATTTTGTTTTCCATTTCTGCAAAAATTAGTAATTCGAGTGCCTTGTTTTATTGTGGACGCAATGATACCCTGTAGCTGTCTGGCTATGCTAGATTATATACTATAACCATATAACTTACTGAATAATTGTCAAAATCATCGACGAACTCTATTATAATGCGCGGGATGCGTGTATGTTCCCTGAGCCACTTGGCGTTAAGCATAAATATTGGGTTCGGGAAATAGATAAGATATACTTTTAAATAAACTAGGGAAGTTACTCTTTGAGAACGAAAAACGTTTTGGGCAGCTCAACAGAATAAAACTGAACAGTAACTTAAAGGGGAAATAATAAATCTATAGCTAAAATTAATTGTCTAGAACAGGAATTAAATAGATTGGCGTTCATACCCCGTTAAAGATGTCCATCACTTCGTCCCACCACTAGAATTGTGAATAATAAAATAATTGCTGTGAGTTAGAAAAATTGCTACGCGAAGTATGTATGATAATTATGAATATGCGTGCTTATGAGATCGTGTCATAAATGGGTTATATTTTAATGGAACTTCTTGAGCGAAATGCGTGGGGAAATGATTTGACTGAAGCATGGGCGAGTGTAGCAAGAGAATAATTGAAATGGGGTATGTTTAGCATTAGCCGTGGTCGAGTTTAGATAGTTTGGTTAGGTTCTGTGCGTGATTAAATGCTGCGGCTGACTGTTTGCCAGTCGGGCCACTTGCCTCCTTCTTCTCCTTTTCCGAAACAGACGAATGTCCAGTTGTATAGTTCTCGATGCGACCAGGTTGATTCTTGTACGAGTTCTGTGCCGCTTTTATGGGATTGGGCATAGTACCATACAATCTGGAAATGTGACAATATATGATAAAGGGTGACAATATATTCTGGAGATTTTACTTACTTATCGTCCTGGCTTAGATTGCGCACGTTGACTGCCGATGAGACCGACTGTACGCGTAGAGGATTGGGTGTACGGTATTTTACAGTCGAGTAATCGGAATCGTAATTGGGCTCGGGCTCTGAGACATAACCATTGCTCTTGTACGAGGGACGTGCTGCAGGGGTTGGGTAGAAACAAATATTAGTAAAAGAAAAACTAAAAATATATTTTTGCGTTAGAAATTTACGATCACTACTGATGTTGCTGTTGTTGTTGTTGTTATCTCTGTTGTTGCTGTTGTTGTTGTTGCTGTTGTGTTTTGGTGTGTTAGCAGACATGATGTTAGAGCGTTGTATTCTAAGCTTAGTATATGAGCAGGTTCTTAAGTTAGGATTAGTGTAGAAACTAGGTTAAAGCGTTCCAATGAGCTACACGGCACGAAAATATATGAGAGAAAAAATTATAATCAAAAATAATATCAAAGTTCCGCATGCCAACTAATGAAAATCTAGTAACTAATGTATAAATCATAATTAAAAATCACGCAAAAGCGGGCAGGCTGAGCGAAAAAGCCAAAATTAAAATGTGTATAGAGAGAGAGAGAGAGACAGAAAGAGAGCGGGGGCAAGCTTAGACTGAATTTTGAATTTAGACTACATTAAGAATTAAATATATCAAAAAATCACCTCTGGGACACTTGTAGCGTATCACAAAATCGTCTGTTGTATGCGATTCGACAAAACAGTTTTATATTTATTGAGAGTAAGCGTATGGATGGGGTAATTTTGGTGATATGGTAGACAATAGAAGACATTCAAAGAGTTCAGAGAGTTAGGATTAAAAAACTAGTTCAGCAGGCGCAGAACTGAAGCATTATAAAAGAGACAGATTAAGTAAATGGAAGCTGGCATCAAATATGAACTATTTTTTAATTTAATCATCATTTAGAATGCTTCAAGCCCTTGATATCTGAGTGGCAAAACATTTACCGCCATTCTTCTGCTTATGTATGGTCTGATAGAGTCGCTTATACCATTCATGCTGGTGCGGTTCCTGGACCTCCTGCAGCGCATGGGACAATAGAAATAACAGAAGATATTACAGAGTCGACGGAGCTAACTAAAAACAAAACCAATTTGGTGTCTGGTCTTTACCGATCTCAGTATGATGGGCATTCCATCGTTGGTCACCGGACCGATGCCTTCGTATTGCCGTCGACCTAACTGTGCCATTTTGCGCGGACGATCGCTTTCCGTTTCCGGTTCGCTCATATACTCGTGCTTGACTTTGTAGACTGTAAACCGTAGATAGTTTTTGTTTCATTTTAGTTTTGTGTGGGTCAGTGTAAGGGGGTGTTTGGTGGGGGAAATTAGCTTGAAAGGGTGTTAAACATTTAAATTGCAACACGCAAGGCACTTCGAAGGCCTCCCATTTTGTTTGATTGTGTATTAACGACGTGAGAACGCGCTCGATTTGGTCATTATTTGGCCTACAATTAATACTTACTGACTTCATTAGGCCTATAGACGGGACGGCTAGTGTCGGACAGTTGACGGCGTGCGAACGGCCTATATAGCTCCGATGTGGAAGCCGAGCGTTCAAATGCTTTAGATGATGGAGGGTCAATGCAAGGAAATGAATAAAAATGTTATGAGCCAAATAAATAAACTAGAGAGTCACACAAATCACATTTGAGCAGCAAAATCGAGTGTTTTTCTACAACATAAAATTGAGCAATAACTTAATCTTCTTCTTGAACTTCTAAGTATATTAATACTAGCAGATTTACATGCACATATAAATCGGTATATATATATATGCTTCGTCCTAATCTGCTTCAGAACTCAGCAAGTATTTGAGCTACCTAGATTTTGGTATGTAGGTTTGTGATATAGTTAATTAAATAATTAACAAAATATATTTGACTTAAAATCAGCTCAGATAAGTTATTAACTCAAGTAATTCAAAACTAGATCTTGTCATGAGTTTTAAGATTTGTAATTTGCTCAAGACGAATCATTTGTCATTCGAGTCAAATGCAACCTTTATGAATACTATATGCAATTGAGATACCCTAGACTTCTGAGTTCTCGCTAAGTGCCACGCATATATGTATGTACTTTTGATCTTGTCGGAGACACTGGCACTGGCAGCCACTGGGCCAAATTGATTGGAATAATCGGTTTCCGCGTAGTCCGAATTGTTCGAGTTCAGCGTTGTGGGCGTGCTCAGGCTGGTGGTGGTCGCCGTGCTGCTCCGTGGTGCAGGCACTGGGCAGTTGCCGTTTGTATATGACCAGGGCGGAATCGTCGTCGTCGGCTGCTGTTGTTGCTGCTGCTGCTGCTGCTGCTGGGCCGTGTAGCGTCGTGGCAATGTGGGCGACTCGAAGCGCACGGGGCGAAACTCCTTGCGTCCGCTCAGCGCGGGCGACGGCTGCGGCGTCCACACGGGCTGTGTGGGCGGCGGCGGAGGCGTGGGCGCCGCCGAGGAGCTGATGTCTAGCTCGTTGCTGGAGCCGTACGGCGTTTGACTCTTGGGTGTCCAGACGCCTGTTGATGATGGTTAATGAGTCTTTGTACTCTAATGACACTTGTGCTGTGGATGGGGCAGTGGTTCAGTGGGCAACACATGACATTTTCAGGGGCGCAAGTTCAAATCGAGTTGAGTTTTTTTTCTTTCTACTATCTATTTTCCTGCTGCTGGTGCTGACATTTACACTTGTCAACAAATTCATGCTCGTCTGCCGCAACATTTTACGGCTGCTGCTGCTCAGGTTTTTAGTTCTGAGTTTTTTATTCTTGTCTTCTAACCAAAATAAATGTTGCAGTCAACAAACCGAGCGAAGACAAATTGACAAACAAACATCGCGACGTTGAACAGCAATAATTAATACGACCAAGGAAGCCGCATTTGGCAGCCATTCAAAACTTGGCCACAAAAACCAAAAAAGAAACTATCGCACACAAATACACACACTCAAAGAGACACACACAGACACACACGTGGATGAGTCATAGCATTTGGCGCATGTTTAGAATTTACAAAGACTTTCACAGATACAAAGATACAGATACAACGCAGACTGTTATAAAATTATATTTGAATCAAACGACACAAAAAGCAAAAAAAATCACGAGGTGTTTCAATTGTTAAGTACAGTAGACACTGGCAGTGAAAGTATTGAGCGGAGTTCAAAGAAAATACTATACATTCATTTGTAGGCAGATTCTTTGGCTTGAGTAAGAAAACGTTGTCCAGGATAATTTTATAATTTTAAAATTATCCAGAATTGCCGAAAAATATTTAAATATATATTCAGAAATTGCCTTTTTATTAAATATAATAATTATATTTAATTCAAATTTTTTAAAATGCCTTTTAATTTAAATTTAAATATCGAAAACTTCAAAAGATTTCAAAAATTGAATTCTTCATTTTTAAAGTAATTATAATTATAATATTAAATTATGATTTTTATTTTGACTATCCTCTCATTCAATTCTATGCTAAATGCTGAAGTTGACTTAAAGATCTCTTAATCTCATATTCCTATCAGTTTTATATGAAAGAAAAAACAATTAAAAGAAACAAATTCGTCTAATATCAAGATGTTGTGTATAGAGATATATGCAAAAGTTGCTTGATATGTTTAACACAACATTTCCTCCGACTCATTCCGAAAGAATTTCAAAACTAATTGCAAATATAAATTAAAAATCAAATTAAGACATAATAATTTAGTTAATCGATTTTTTGAATAAAATGTATTTGATCTGCTTAATCAGCCCTCGCTGAAGCAGCCCTCGTTGCTTGTGCAGTCAAAATCGTTCACTCAACAGATTTATATGCCACCTGTAATAGCACACACACACATAGATACAGATACACAGATACAACTATAGCATTGGATACACTTGTATCTGCATAGATATTGCCTGCCCTAGGCGCGAATGCCGCTAGACATTGGCACGTATATTGCGTCTGTAGAATACGTTTTGGCTCTGGGGTTTGTTGTTGTTGTCGTTGTTGTTGTTGCTGCTCTTTGATTTGTGGGTGGATGCGCTGACGTCTTAATTCAATCAGCACCTAATCGAATTATACAACCGAATCAAAGTCTTGCCATGGCCAATCAAAATCAAAATCACAGTCCTTCCACTCACTCACTCACCCAGTGAGTCATTCACTTAACACTCGCATTTTGCTGCACTCACACACACACTTGAAATTTACCCTAGGCAGGATGAGAAAGTCGTTGATAGTATTTCGACGTCTGAGAATAGGATCAAATGCGTTAACCGTTGCAAGTTCTCGAGTTGCTGACTCCGCGCGCGGCTCAAAGCGACTGAATTTTGCGTGACCCGCCGGCGTCGAGCAGACCAACTCGCCGATTACTGATTTTCTTTTTGGGAAAGCGCTGGAAAACAGCACAGCACAAAAAACAAAAGGCGCAAATCACAAGCGACTGCTAAATGACTAAATAAAATAAAAAAAAAAAAACAGAAAGAGAACAACACACCCAGTCACAGTCAGGCAAACTGCAGAGCAACCCCCCTCATGCCGCGCCAGAGCCAACGATTTCCCAGCGATTTTAAATAGAAGATCAATTACGCGGCAATCAAATATGGGAGAGCTCCGTGCTCGTTGAAGCGCACACTCGGATCGGATATATTTGATTTGGACGAGACCGTTCCGAGACAAAAGCAGACTTTTTTTTATTTAGTGGAACGCCAATTATGCGTGCAATGCGAAATGGAACGGATGTGTAAGCGACTAAATATACCATATATACTCTGAATACCGAACACACACACTTGCAGACTACTCCCCACTTATAAAAGAGCTAAAGCCAGCTAAAGAGTCAATCAAAATGATTTCATTTGGGGTTTGGGTTTTGGGTTTTGTGTTCGGCTTTTTGTGTAATGCAAACGCAAAAACTCTTTTGGTCGCTTTTGAAAAGAGAGTTAAAACAAAAGACAAATGTGCGTTGGGCAGTTCTGGCCTGGCTCGGCACTTCCGGTGCCGCTGTGTTCGGTTCTCTTTCCACCCGTTTTAGAATAAATCAAACGGAAATTTTTTAGCCAATAAAAACAATGCTCATAAAACTAGCCCAGTCTATAGACTGCAGGGGAAGTAGGGTAGGGGCTTAGTTTCTGCTGCTGTTGCTGCTGCTACTTCTGTTGGGTGTGTTCGAAGGGGAGCGCCCGCGCTCGTTCGTGAAGAAGCGCATTTACTTTGGAAATCGACTCGGAGCTCCTCGCATTTATGTGAAATTTATTGATTTGCAAAAATTAAAATGGGAATATCGTATGGGCATCTGAGAAACAGAGTACGACAAAAACAACAACAACGACAACCGACAATTGTACTTGAAATGAGCGTACTTTTAATTTTAACTAGATTGGATAATTAAGAAATGTTTAACAGCGCAAAAACAATAAGTAGGGTAATGCCTTAAGCAGTTGATAGAATAGCAGTTACCCTGTTGTCAACGCTAGAATGTGGAAAACTAATATGATAATGAAGTCTTGATATTAGCAATACAATTTTCTTGTGTATATTGCCTACTATCTATACTGACTCGACTATGAAGCAACCTATCTAAGCACATTTAGTATACCGAATTTCACATCTTTCATGCCCATATTTTTCAAAATGAGCAGCCTTTGATTATATAGTATCTAACGTTACTCGTCTTACAGCCATACGATATTTATGAAACATTCAGAATACTTGATAAGATATATTAAGATATATATTATTTACGAAATTTCATAAATGTGCATTAAATGCAAATATGAAAAAATAATACACATTACAAATCACTTCTCATAAAAGGACAGACCTCATCAGTCATATGCATACATTCTGTCGCATATCTGGAATACTGAACTTAAACTTCATCCCGTTACTTCCAATTACCCCATTTTCCGTGCTGTTCGCTTACAGGGTATGCAACTACAACTATATTTTTAGTGCCTTAGTCTAATGGCCTTGCATTTGAAACTGAGGCTGCCCGCTGGACTGATAGCAACCTGTGCGTGCGCCCATTTATTATTTTGGGCTTGGGGATTGGAATAGCGATTGGCTTTGGGCTTGGGCTTGGGCCAGCTATCGATGGAGGGCGTGCCCAGCCGCGACCTGGCAGTCGTCGTAGCGTTGTGACCCAGCCTGCGTTAGGTGCGCCGCGTTGCTTTTGTTGTTGCGAGCAAATTAAGAACCATTCTCGCATTGATTTATTTGGTATGCCATTATTAAGTGAGTAGAGTATTTATGGAGTGCTGTGCAACAAACAGATCAGTTATGGGCGCCCTTTAGAATGCGGCACGAGTTTGATGTTCACTTCGATCTAGGGTTGGGTTTTTGAGCAGGTTGTAAAGGTCATTCGAGTTTGTATTTTGACGTGAACTCAAGGTAAATGTCAATGAAATGTTTAGAAAATTGCTAAGTATAATACCACATCTCGAATCCGAAAATCCTTTTGGCGCTATATTGAATACTATTTTCTGTATGCTCTAAAAAGTTTCCCACGAAAATGTGCAATAAATCTTTGCCAATATTTTCAACACGTATGATGAACAACCAAAACCCCAACGCAACGTCATCTTTAGTATATATTTTACACCGTATATACGAAGCTTAATAAACTCAATTCTATTTAAATCATGCTTTCCTGCTCGCAAATATATCAATAATCAACAGTTTCGCTGACGCCCAAGTTCAACTAAATTTATATTAACTATAAATTATGTTTAGTCACTAAAAGTCGCCACAAAAAAAATAAATATTTAAACTTTTTCTAATTTTCTTTTGCTGCCAAAATATAAAAAACAACGCGGGCGTAGATTTAAAAATAACAGCGCACAAATTAATTCTTTAAATAAATAAAGGCGCCTTTACGGCCCAATAGAGCTGTGAAAGATGTGAAAGAAGCATAATATTTGCATAAGTAAACTCTGGGCTAATGCTTGGGGATCGACATAAACGATGTCCGCGTCGTGACGCCAATCAAATGGCCAAACGGGGCGTATACGCATTTTGATAGATTAGTTACGCCCACACACGCACACAGAAAAATTGCCATAAGGTGTTTTTAGAGAAAATCACATTCATAGATCCCATACCATTAGCTTATACTACGTAGGATCGTCAAAGCTATCATCAAAATGTTTGAGACATTGATTTGGCAGTTGGCAAGTTTCATTGTGTACGGGAATATTTCATTAAGTTTGCCATCTGGATTTTCCTTGTGTTTATTTTCCATTTTTAATGGATACTGTAAAAGGCTGGCGGGCAACTGTGGGCGTCTAGCTGCACACAAATATATATACATATATATATATACATATATATATATTTGTAATAAATATTGCTCAGCCAACAAATTTTTGGATTGTACGTCATTTTATATATTTAGCACAAAGAACAAGCAGATAAGAAAAACCATGCGCACCTCCAGCTCCAGTTTGGAATTTTCTACTTGTTTTTTTGTGTTTTTTTTTTTTTCGGGCAACACAATTAACACGAACTAATGTGAAATATTTGAAATAAACATGTGCGAAGGCAAAAATCAAGTTCAATTTGTTCACAAAAGAAAAGCACGATATATACAAGCTAAAGACAAGATCATCATCATCAGAAAAGTGAAAAGTCGAGAACTGACTGAAAGGCAAATAATCTATAAATAAGTGCCAATAAATTTAAACAAATAACAATACGCTCAACGACGAGAAAGTTGATTAGAAACTGGTCTTAAATAAATAACAAAATAATAATTGACTCGAAGCTGAATAAAACTGAAAAGATAATTAAACAAATGTAGGTTTCTAGGCGAAATGTTTTAATTGATTGTTAAAATCAATTGGAATAAGAGTTGAGTAAATAACAATTTTACTGAAAGTACGAAATTGTAAATAGGGAGGTTTTTGCAATAAAGTATAAGTCAGAAAAATAATGAAGGTAGACAATCCTCAAAAATATTATTTATATACATGAACACTTAAAATATTACAAAGCAAAAGTAATTTCCCCAAAGCTAAGAGAATGTAGTCATAAATAATTGAAAGGAAATGTGCTAGCATTTAAATAGGAATTTCAACAATAAAAATGAACTTATTTTTCTGAATGAATATTTCGACTTTAAGCGAAATTTCTTCGAATTGAATAGAACTTTTCTATAAAACAACATATTTTTTAAACAAAATATCTTAGTTGCCTGGAAAATATTAAGAGGAATTGTAATTTTGTACAATTGTAAAATTACGGAAATGTAATAAATAAAACTACATTCTACATTCTCTCATGAAATGTTCTACAGCTATTGTTGCTTTTCAGTGCAAATTAACTTGGCCTCTGTTTAACTTTAATTAAAATTCAACTGAATTTCATTCAGGTTATACGAAAAGACCCTTCGAGCAAATTCATTTTGTCAAACTTCGTGAATTGAAAGGGAAAAATTCCCATTATTTAATAAGTAGAGAGAGTGCGATGTTAATGTTATTTTGTCCAAGACATCATGTTTAACGTTCCACTCTTCTACATCATATTAATTTTTAATAGTTTCTACTAAAATGTTGTAAATAGAGTTCTATTTTCAGTGCACTATTTAATGTATAGATTTATCAGTCATTTGCCACACGCACACACATTCGAAAGATCGTCAGAAAAACCCATTAAAAACGTCATGTTTGCAAGTGCAAGTGTCACACTTTTCCGACTGGCCACACAGAGTGCTGCATCCATCAGATACAATATTTAGATATTACCTGAGCCCGATGGTGCGCGTGCTTTAAATTTGGGCGCAAACATTGTTGTGTTTTGTGTGTGCTCTGCAAAAAGGTTGCATATGAATAAAAAATTTGATACGGGTTAAGCACTTGCAATAAGCTGCACTTCACTTGAACGTAAAACACTTTGACACACTTTTCATTCAGGGCTGGGCACTGCACAACAAACAATCGAAAATGAAAAGCGCGCTGAGCAAATTGCTTGGAAAAACGCTCGACTAACCCTGCCCCATTTTTGTTTTTGCTCGAACTCAATTTTTGTGATGTGTGCAAGTGGAAATATAGAAATGCTGCCGCTGCTTCAGACGCAATATATATTCTATGCGGATATATATATGTGTATAAATATATGTTGATTTTCTTTTTGCTTTATTTTTCACGCGCCTTCGCGTTGCGCACACGACTTAAACACGACGACGACTACGCCAGGCGAAAATCTTGTACAAGTCGCTTGGATTTTCTTTCGACAAACGAAACTCAATTTGTGTGAGCGCACAGCGAAAATAAGAAGAACAACAAATTCGTTGAATGTTCCCTCAACAAATTTGATTTTCCATTTTCCTTTTGGGCCAACGCAGCATAAACAAAAATGTTGATGCTTGCGTAAACAGAGACAGGCAAGTGGAAAAGGCGGCCAAAAAACTGCTTAACCCCAGAGCGCAAAGAGCAGAAAGAGCAGCAGGAAGAGTGGGTGAGAGAGGGAGGGTGGGGGAGAGTGAAAGATCGTCTCATGTAGTGGGCCATAAATTTGTTGAACGACGCCTAGATAAAGATACATTTTCACGCAATGACCAAAATCGCTCGCGCGTTGCACATGTCGTATACACAATATTTTGTTTTTCAAATCTAGCAAAAAATGATTGCATACTTTACGGCGGCAGGTGCAAAATAATTATAAAAATAAAAATGGCATAATTGTGAGTGTTTGTGAGTGTGTGAATGTGAATATAAGTATATTGAACGAATTATGAAAACGAGCACAGCTACATTCAAATGAACTACAATTCTGGCCAATTAGCTGCCAGCTGTGCTCCTTTTCAAGTGGCCCAAAAAAGCGGCCCACAGACATTTAGAGGGCAGACATAAACACATAGGTTGTTGGGTGGTGGAACGGAGGTATATACAAAAACAAAGGGGGGGAAGGGGCACTTTGACCGACCGTTGGCATAGAGAAAGCCCTTGGCCAGCTGCAGCTCATTGTCAATCTCCTTTAGCAGATCGCTCTCGGACCAGCTGCGTCGCTGGCGCTGTCGCTGCAGCTGCTGCGGCGATAGCAGAAACCGCGTCTGCTTCTGTGGGCGTAGACGCAGCTTCGCTGCCATCGCTGGCGTCGGCGTCGGCGTTGACGTTGGCGTCGCTGTCTGTAGCTGCCGTTGTTGTTGCTGCTGCTGCTGGTGCGGACGTTCGCTTTTAATTGCTTGGGCTATCAAAATTGTTGGCATTCGTTTAGTTTTCTCTCTCTTGGCTAGACGCATGCCACATGCTGCACTTAGTCTAAGGAACCCTGTGCTCAATTGTCTCTCTGCAACAACAGCAATAAACAAAACAAAACAAACGAATCGCTTGTTCGTTTTGTTGCTTCCCCTTGCCTCTTTCCCCTTTTTATGCCAATTGAATGGAATTAATTAAAATTTCCGCTTAATCGCGATTCGGTCCCCCCGCTGTGCCCCCTTTGGCAATGCAATTGCTTGCAGCGCCCCAGATAAGCCGACGCAATCGGAACGAGCGCAGCGTGAGCCGCGGGGTATTGGGGCACTTATAGCTCGAGGGTCTTGTAATTTAAATTGGCGGGACACTTGAGCGCAGAGTTGCAAAAAATTAAATCAGCAAAAAACAACTTAATATTTATCGTTATGAGCATGTAAAAGACTTTTGCTAATGACCCTCGCTTATATAGACACTTCATAAATACTATATAATATGATTTATGCACGTTCGTATTGTGGGAAAACAAACTTATAAAAAATTAGTGGCATCAATTTTAAATATTCTACCAAATTTTCATTTGCCAAATATTTTGTGGAATTCTTTCTCATAAATTTATGTCATTGAAAATTATTGTTCTAGCTGAATGTGACACTTGGCCATAGGAATACTCTTTAGGAAGGGTAAGGCATGAAGAAATTGAATGATATATCATTAATAAAAGCGAGAGCAGAACTGGGAAGAAATTAAAATTAAAACTAAGTGGTAACAGCTGTAATTAAGCTTTTATTGGCTGAATTGAATTAAATTGAAATTCTAAAATTGTTATAGGGGTAGCTACTGAGTGTAGCTTAAAGCTTTTATGAGATATAATTTTTCATGTTAGTTCTTTTAAACGCTTTCTTTTGAAGAAAATGCTACTATTTATTAAAAAGATAATAGAAGCTACTTAACAAAGCTTTAAACTGCTGCTGATAATGTGCTTTCAAAAGCAGCTTTAAGTGTAGCATGAATGAATAATTTTTTCTAACTTACTAGAGCTTTACGCTTACAAAAAATATAAATTAAAAGCACGCAGCTTTCATGCGCTTTTAAGGCTTTTAGATAAAAGTATGAGCCTTAAAGTACAAATAGGCACACATAATTCGAAATGAATGCCACTAAATTGTATAAGTTATATATAGTATAAAAAATGTATCTGATTAGTTAAATGAGCAATGCATGATTAATTATAATTAGTTACTTTCGATCAATGTATATCTAGGACATTCACAGGATTAGTCAGTCGATCAAGCAATGCATCATTTACAAGCGCTAGCATAAAACAAATCTCTCTGTGACACAGCTTACGACTAGATCAAATCAAATCGGTCAACGGATATATGTAGATAGATATATATGTGGGGCATGCGTACAAAATAATAAAGACTAAATAACAATTGAGTTTGTTAATCAATTTATCGTTTATTAAACATTCAACAACACTATATTGGCTTTATTTGTATTAATTTCCAAAAGAACATTTAACCAATTTTCACAAATATAGTTTTCAATTTTATTTGTATTATTATTATTCATTTTTTTTTTTGTTTCGTTTATTTTTTAAATATTTGCCTAGGACAAAAACATAATTTCAATTTTCAATTGGTTAAAAGTAGGCTGCATGCTGCTGGAAGGCTTTTCGGGGTAGCTGAGGGGGGATATATAAATTGTTTAAAGCGTTTCAGGCGGTTCCATTAACAAAGGTTTCTGGGCGTGCACATAGAGTATTTTTTGCATCCTATATATATTCAGAAACTGTCGGACGTGGTTGTATGCTCAAAATTGCGCCAATATTTATCGAACTCCTCGAAGATTTTCGAGCGGAAGGGCGAGCTAGCGAACAGCTCATCGAAATTTCTATGGAAATTCACCAAAAATGGCGAAGACGATGGCGAAGGTGATGCTGGCGCTGCTCGGCCAGAGCTCGATTTGGATCTGGATTCGTTTTCTATATGGCTACTCGTGGTTGACGTTGTTTCTGTTGTACTGTTGTTGTTGTTGTTGTTGCTATTGAAGTTGTTGGAGTTTTCGTAGTTTTCATTGTTGTTCTTGTTGTTGGTTGCTGTTTTATCATTGTCTGTGTGAGGGCGGCGATAGAGAGAAATTTTGATATACAAAAGAGCGACACACACAGAGAGAGACACACAGATTAAGAGTGTGAGTGAGAATGAAAAAGAGAGTGAGAAGGAGAGACAGAGAGCGAACGAGTTGCTACAACAACAATAAACACACACATTTTTACAACATGTTTTTGAGATGAGAGAGTGTATGTACTAAATGACCTTTCACCAATGAGTTAAAAAATATATAAGTACACTCAGAAAAAAATGTGTATCCTAGATTTAATTGAAGTACAAACAAAATATGCTAAGCGCATGTTTAAGTTTTCGTTTTCAACTAAATTTAAAAGAGATATATATTGTTGAACCATTTTTTTCACATATTTTTAAAATATAATTTTTATGTTTTTTTTTTTTTTTTTGGAATATTTCTAGCTTAATTTTCTTGAAATTAACTAAATTTTTTGATAAAATGCAATATTTATTGTAACACTTATTGGAACTAGTTGTTCAAAAAACGTTTAAAAAATAGTTGGTTTTGCAAAGATTTCATTGCGAAATGGGAAATCAGAATCTGGCTTAAATTTCATCTCATTAATAAAGTCAAAATCTAGAATACACATTTTCTGAGAGTGCAAAAGAGTGGGCATTTAGCTGAACTTGTTCCAGGCCGTAAGAACGGACAGGCCAAGTAGCAGAGCGGTGCCCAAGATGCTGCCAGCTATCGAGGTGGAGGATGAATTGGATGTATTATTGTTGCTATCGACTAGGCTACGGGGAATGGGCGTTGGGCTGGTGGGTGATTTGGGTGGTGAAGCGGAGTTATTGGAGTTGGAGTGGGAGCTGTAGGAAGAACAGGAACCTTTGAAAGCGGAACCACAACCAGTGTCAGGCGTTGGGGAGCGGCAGGAGCTAGTTACAGAAGCGTTGCCTAGTTGCAGATTATGACTAACGAGTCGCGCGGTATTCGATCGATAACGATAACGATTGGCAGCCGGCAGCGTCGCTCTCGGCTTGTCCGTGGCAAACTCACCCTGCACAGAAGGCGGCAACCGGGACACCTTGTACGTCTTCACAATGGTCGACTTCTTGCTGGCACTGCTTAGCGAATTGTCCGTTGCGGTCTCGCTGCGCTCCTGCTGCTCGTGCCGCTCCACTTGACCGGATGACTGGGCGTCACCTTTCAGCTGCTCGCAGCTGCTGAACTTGGCGAATTCGCGCAGATGACGCGGGAGCTCGCGCAGATTTGCCTCGGCCTGACCCTCCAGAATGCGCACGGGCGTCGGCGCCTCCGCATCCGATTCGCTGCCGGCCGTCGCCGCCGTTTTGGCGGGCGCTGGCTGCGACTCGGCGCCGCTCTCCCAGTCGCTGTCCGCGGGCATTGAAAGCTTGTGACGGCGCTCCTTGACGCGATTGAGAAACTCATCGCTAATGTTCGCCTGGTGCTCGGTGGCGTGCTGCTGTTCGTCCTCGATCTTGGATATCTTGATGATCTTGTGCTGGCGCCGCTCCTCTCGCTCGGCCACTTTGTTCATCCACTCCTCGGCCATTTGCTGGCGGAACACCTCATCCTCGCTGAGTGTGGGCAGCTTGGGCGCCGGCCGGTAGCTCTCGCGACGCGGCGGCGGCGCCTGCAATACCGTGGGCGCCCGCTGCATCTCCTCCATCAGCCGGCGGCGCTCTTGCTGCAGTCGTTCGAACTCTAGCTTCAGCTGCTCCTCCTTGCTCAGTATATACTTCAGCTGCTGCTCGTGCAGCTCGCGCGGCAACGAGGCGCGTCTCTCCCGCTGCCTGTCGTACGCCGGCGGCTGTCCCGGCTGCGGGGTGACGGGCGTGGACACCGGCGCCGGCGACACGCCACGCCTCGAGGTGGTGCTAATGTAAGTGGGATTCGGATCCCGCTCGATCATCGAGTAGCAGCTGGCATAGTGTGGCCGCTGCTGCTGCGGCGCCTGCTGCAGCATGGGCGCATGCCGGCGCCCGCCTCCGTACGCATTGAAGCTATCGTAGCAGCTGCTGCTGGACAGATCGTTTGTGCTGGCCGAGAGGCGTGGCGCGCGTATAGAGTGCGGCTGTCGCTGGCCCTGGCTCTGGTTCTGGCGTTGATAGCAAATCTCCACCTCGCGGGCAAATGGACGCGCGATATTCTCCGAGTAGCCCAAATCGCTGGCATAGTGTGCCCAATCATCCTGCTGTACTGCCTCGGTGGGCACTCGGTAGTGTTCCGCGGAGCTGTGCGGGCGCGTCTGCTCGTTCAGATTGCACAGCGATTCGGCGCGACGAGTGCGCTCGTAATCGGGCGCCAGTTGAATGGGTATCTCGACGGCACGTGGCACCGAGGACAGTCGCTCCTGGCGTGATCTGGCCGAGCGTTCAATTTCACGCTCCAGCTCCTGCATGTGGGCATGCCGCTCACGCTTCAGCTGCTCCAGTTGGCAGCTGTTGTTGTTGTTGCTGTTGGTGAGGCGACTGAGATCGTAGAGCGAGGCGGATTTGTCGCGCTGCTGTCGCTGCTCGCGGCCCGTTTGCAGCTCGGCATTCAGCTGTTGGGACAAGGCGTCAAAGTCCTTGAAGAGCTTTTCATTATCCAAGTGATTGCCCGTCGAAGGTTGCCCGTTGCCGTTGGGCTGAGCAATTGCGTCGAGCGCTGCTTTGGCACGTTGCCGAAATTCCTCATAAGTGCCGCTGCTGCTGCTACTGTTCACCTTGGTGCCAGTTGTTGTTGTTGTTGTTGTTGTTTGTTCTCTGTGCTGCCTGCTCTCTGGGAGCAACTGTTGCTGCTGTGCGTCATCATTGAAAGTGTTTGACATGCCATTTAATTTCGTTGCTGACATCATATTTGCCGCTGCCGGCGGCGGTGGCACTGGCGGTGCACAGTCCACCTCATCCGCCGCCGCCTGCCGTACAGGTATCTGATGCACCTGGGGCACCTGCTGCTGCTGCACCTCACGTACCGGAAATTTCCCATTTGCCGTGGGCGTGTCACCAGCAGGCTCCTGCTGCTGCTGCTGCTCGCGACTGCTATTGCTGTAGTCGTAGATCACCTGGCCGTTCTCTACACGCTTTTTGGACTCAAAGGAACTGGTCTCGATGTTGGAGTAGCGTTTGCTCTGCTGCGGCTTCTGCTGCCCGCTCTGCTCAATGTTGGAGAAACGCTTGCGCTGCTCGTCAAAAATGTCGCCCTGCTGGGCCATGCTGGGGAACATGCGCGCCAATTCGCTCTCCATGCTGGCTGGAAATTTGCTGCTACTGTTGTTGCTGCTGCTCCTAATGTTGCTGCTGTGGCTCATGTAGCTGCTGTTGCTGTTGCTGCTGTGTTTGCTCTGCTGTTGCTGCTCGACTGTGCGCTGGTCAAATGCGTATGGCAACTGCGGATCAGCTGCTGCTGTTGCTGCTGTTGGTTTATTTTCAAATGATGATGTCGCTGGCATTGTTGCTGTTGCTGTTGCTGCTGTGCTTGCCTTTTGGCTTACGTCATCTGCCATTTGCTTTTGCTGCTGTGTTGCTTGGCTCTTTGCCTTGGCCGCCGTTTCGGCGCTCTTCACAGGCACCGGCGGCGGCGGCGGCGTTGTCGCTGTGGGCGTTAGACTCTTGCGCAATTCGCGCATCTTGGCCGCTGTTTTGAGTATCTGCTCCTGTTCGGCAGTCATTTGTGCGCTATCCATGGCACGCACCTGTTCGGCGCTCAGCTCGTGATAGCCGCGTCGCTGTACGAACTTCTCGTGTGCGTCCAGCAGCTGATCGGCCGCTGGCTGCAACTGTTGCTGCTGTGTCAGCGCACGCTGCGCCGGCGACAGGCACACCAGCAGCTGGGGATCCTTCTGCGTAGGCAAGCCCAGCCAAGCATCCTTCTCGCCTGCGGCCTGGTCCAGCGACAGCTGCAGCTCGCCAATGTGCGGCAATTGGGGCATAGGATAAGGCATGTTGTCCACTTGTTGCTGCTGCTGCTGTTGCTGCTGCTGCTGCTGCTGCTGTTCAGTTATGTTTTGGGCAACGCTGGCGAGCTCCTCAAGCATCTGCTCGCCATAGGGCATGGAGGCCAATGTCTCGGTGCATAGCAAACGCAATTTCTTAATGCGCTCCGCTTCCGTTTCCGCTGCTGAAATAGGGGAAATAGCTGGTTGCTGCTGTTGCTGCTGCTGGCGCAAGGGAGGTGTGGGGGGTTGCTGTTGCGGGGTTGGCGAGGCCAGATGTATGGCAGTGCATTGGCTGTGCTGTGTGCTGTCCGAGCAGTGCGAATCGTTCGACTCTTGTCGATTGAGCAACAAGGGGTTAAGGATTGGATGCTGGGTGGTGCTGGTAGCGGGATAGTGCATGCTGCTGGGGGGCGGTGGCACAGGCGGGGGCGTGGGTGATAACCTACAGCGCAATTCGTTTGGCTGCTGCTGCTGCTGCTCCGGAGCAGCTGGCGCGTTCTCGTTAACGTTACCGTTACCGTTTCCGTTTACATTCCCGTTTTCGCGTCGCGTCATTTCGATCAATTCGCGCACTTTTTCCATGTTGCGAACGAATTCCTCGCGCGTTGCCGCCAGCGAAGTGGTTGCAGTTGAACTGTTGGCCAATTTGTTCGGGCTAAATTCGTTGGCCAACAATGTCGAATGTTGATTCGCTTCTCTTGGCAGCTCATTTAATGCCGGCGTGGGCGTCGCTGTCGGCGTCAGCGTCGCGGCACTAAGCAGCGATGATAGCGAACTGCTGCCCGGCGATGTCGGCTCCGTCGGGGGATGAGCGTTAACAGGTGTGCTCTCGCGGCTCGATTGGTCGGCGGCAGTTGTTGCCTCCGTTTCCGTGTCCACTTCCGTTTCAACCTGCAATTGTTGTTGTTTCTTTTGGTTCTTGGTATTCGTGTTGTTGTTGTTTTAGTATTGTTACACAATTGTATAAGTATATGATTCTAGCATAAACATGGCCTACTTTAAGTTTATTGCGCACTCAACCGACCCCGAATACTAGCCAGAGATCTTGGACCTTCAACTCTTGCTAATCACAAAGATACAAACAACATTAAATGATCTCTAATCGACAAGAACTTTTTTAATGAACAATTTAATATGAAATATGTGCCGAAAAAATCCAAAAAACACTGCAAATTTATTCGTTCAACTTAAATACTGTTTTATTAGCATTGGAAATTTACACTTTGCCACAGCGCACAAAAATTTCCAATATTTTATATATTTTATAGAGCCTTGCATTAAAATCGATATCGCGGAAGAATGCGATTCGCAAAACTACTATCGGTTATCGCTTTGATATCACTCTCTTATCACTTTTTAACTTCCACTGAAAACTAACTGCAAGAAACATATTGTAGGAAATATATGTAAGCAAACAAAGCTAAACCTTCAGACTAGCTTTTTCTCTATGTATTCGAATAAATTGTTTTATCGCCTTCGAAGTTAAAAAAGCGAGAAATCAATGCATTTTCCCTTTGTTAACAAGAATATTTGACATGATGTTGCCGCATTGCTTAAATGCTGCTATTAAGCAATGTACAGGCTTTTAAACAAATATGCTCTATCATATATGCTAATAACATATACGAAAATGGATTCGACATTTAATCGAAATAAAATATATATATTTTATTAAATCTTTGATTGTAGCTTAAGTCTTTCTTATCACGAAGAAAACAATGTGAAGACTTATTAAATGCAAGTTTTTTCATAAACTTAATTAACATAATTTGTACTCCTTTCTAATTAAATATACCGCCAAGGCATAAAAAACTAATCATCTTATATTAACTACTCGTCTGATTGCCACCCATATTCCCTTTTCCCTCCTTTTCCCTTTTCTCTCCACACTAAACCTCCCGCAACTCCTATGGTTAGTTGGTTAGTACCGTGCTACGAACCTCGCACTCGCCCTCGGTTTCCGTTTCATTGGACGAGCTAATCGGCTCTGTGGTTGTTGTGCTACTCAGGTCGTCGTCGGGTCGATTGATCAGCCGGCTGGCATCCGTGTCCAGATCGCTGAGGGCTCGTTTGGCCAGGGCAGCTGCCTCTTCGAGCTCGAGTTCCATTAGATCCGAGACGCTGCTGGAGCCGGACGAGCTGAGGTAAACCAATTCCGCGTCCTCGGATTGTGGCGACAACGTGCTCTGTAGACGCGTGCAGCTCTCCAAATCGCTGGGCTGCTCGAGCAGCTTTGTTTCCAGCATGAGAGCCAGCGGCTCTTCGCGACGCTTGTGCCGGCGACTGAAGTCGAGTTGGCTGCGCGGAAACGCTTCGTTTGCCTTCGCTGGCAGTGGTGAGCGCGTCTTCGCCGGATCATTGCCAGAGGAGGATGCGGAGGCGCTGCGACTTAGGCTGGGATCGCCGCCCGCTGCTGCTGCCTCGCTATTCTCCTCCAGAATGCTGTCCAGATAGCGCGGACTAAGCAGCTGCGGCAGAAAGTGCGATTCGAGTGCATTGCGTTTCTGGGCGCGTTTCTGGCGCAGCTGCTCCTGCTGCTCGGCGCGGCTGCTGGACGGCAAATCCGCCGAAGACGCCAGCACAGCAACAGGCGCAATCATAGCCGTCGGCGTGTTCGCCGTCTCCGAATCCGCTTCAAATACAACTGGCGACTGCAGCGGCCCATTGAACTCACCGGAGCTACAATCGCTGCTCAGCTCCAGCTCTTGAATTTGCACATCGCGCGCGAATTTACTAAACTGTTGCACGGCCTTTGGTGAGGGCGATTCGACCAAGTAACGCGGCGGCGGTGACAAGGTGCCGCTGTTGCCGCTGCTGCTGTTGCTGTTGGTGCTGTGTGCGGTTGTTGTTGCTGTGGTGCTGCTGATCTCCTCAATTGTAGGCTTACCTTTGCGAGCGCGTTCCTCCTCATCCGTTTCGATGCGTATCTGATGTATGATGACCTTTGTGCTGCGTTGTAGCGGCTGCTGTGCGGCATGTTGCTGTGGTGCACGCTGTTGCTGATGTGTCTCAACCTGTTGCTGCTGTGTTTTGATCTGTTGCTGCTGAGCCAGCGGCTGTTGCAGCTGACAATTCGCCAGTAATTCTTGCACAGCTGCTGGCAACTGTTGCTCTGTTTGTGTTTCCTGCTGCTGTTGTTGCGTCTGCTGCTGCTCCTGCTGTTGCTGCTGCAACTGTTGCTGATGTGCATCTATTTCGTCATTGCTCTCGCGCACTATGCGATGCACAATGACCTTGGCCTGACGTGGGCTGCCTGGTGGCCTTGCTGCCTGCTGTTGCTGCTGCTCCTGTGACAATTCTGTCTCTTGCTGTGATTGATCCCGTTGCTGCTTGGAGTTTTTGGCACCCATTTCGTGTTTATCTCCCTTTTCGACTATCACAGGCACTATGTGAACCACTGGCTGTTTCTTGAACTGATCTTCAGACTGCTCAGAGGCCTTCTTTACTCTAAGTTCTTCTTTTGGATCTTTTGTCTGAGCTTTCGGATGTATCTCAATCAGATGTTCCCTTGGCTGATCTGCTACTTGTTCGGCTAACTGATCAATAATCTTCTCTATTTTTGAATCTTCAACTAGATCTTGCTCGATCAGATGTTCAATTCGGGGCTCTTCCGACTGTTGTCTTGGCAACTCTTGTGGCTGATTCTCAGACTGATCTTTAGGCTGACTTTTTGCTTGTGCAATCGACTGCTCTTCAGTGTGATCGACCAGCTTCTCTTTTGTAGACAGATCTTCTAGCAGCTCTTCTGATTGACATCCTGGCAGACCTCTTAATTGTTGGACAAGCTTATCTTTTGTCTGCAGATCAGGCTTATTGATGGGCTTCTCTTTCTTTTGATCTTCAGATAGATATGCCAGCTGATCTGTAGATTGACATTCGGGTTGATCTTCCAACTGCTGGACAGGCTTTTCCTCTAACTGATCTACTAACTGATCGACCAGTTTACCTCTTTTCTGATCATCAGATACTTCAGAATGAGCTGCAGGCTGATCTTCTAACTGCTTGACAAGCTGCTCCTTTGTCTGATCTTCTAACTGATCGACCACCTTCTCTTCTGCCTGACCTTTAGACAAATCTTCCAGCTGATCCTCAGATTGATGTTTGTGCTGATCTTCCAAATGTTGAACGAGCTTCTCTTTTGTATGAACTCTAGGCTGAACTTCTAACTGATCGACCAGCTTCTTTTCTGCCTGATCTTCAGACGGATGGTCTTTTGCTGCAATATACTGTTCTTTGGACTTATCCTCTAGCTGCACCACAGACTGTTCTTCTGGCTCTTTCTGGCTGTCCTCTATGCTGGCTATGCGCGTGGTTGATTCATCAGCAGCTGTGAGGCTGTCGGTGGCTGTGGTTGACCCATTTGAAATGCTGCCAGAATTTGCATTATTATCATGCTGATGATCATTAGCTGCTGTTAATGATGATGAAGTTGTTGCTGCTGCCGCTCCTGCCTCCTCCTGCTGCTCTCGCTCCTCTGTCGCTGTTCCCTCCGCCGCCGCCGCTTGCTGTTTATTTTGATTTGCGTTTTGATTTTTATTGCGCTTATTACGATTACGATTGCGATTACGATTACGATTATTTGGCATCGTCTACGTCGCGTCTAAGCCTGGGAAACTGTTGCACTCGAAACGGAACCCACACTTAGTCTCTCTGTATATATATATATATATATATATATATATATATATATATATTTAAATGTGTATGTGTGTGTTTGTGTGTGTGTGTGTGTGCTTGATTTGTTGTGCCTGCCTGCTGCAGTTTGTGTCTGGCTATTACGCATACGCCGCGTTTGCCGCTTTCAATCAGCTAAATCTAAAAATTGCTTTAATTCGTGTGCTTTTTGCTTTTGTTTTTTTGTTATTGCTCGTTTATTGTCGTCTTTTGTCGTCGTCGACGTCGTCGTCGTTTAGGGATTTCTCTCTTTCTCTGTGTCACTCGTCGCTGGCAGAAACACAACTAAAACTGAAAAACTGAACCATACGGCGCCGTCAGCCGATCAACCAAAACGACGAGCCGGCATTTCAAGCAGCGTCGACACCAGCTGCGACGCCAGCTGCGACGTCAACGGCGACTGCGACGCTCAGCCGCCCGGCACAAGTTTGACACGCGTCCGGCGCTGCACAAATTTTGATATACAGATATATATATATCATGCGTATATATATATATATTTATATATCTATAGATATAAAACACGCAAAAAAAGAATATTTTTGATTTGACGTTTTTACGTTTTAGTTTTCAACTTTCGCTCTCATCGCGTCCGATTTGTGTGTTCCCGACAATTTCGTTTTGCCTCACAGATTTTTCTGACAAGATTTTCTTTCGACTTGTTTTGCGCGCTCGCGTTCCCGTTTCTTCTGCTGGCGGCGACTGGCGACCAAGGAATGGGCCATGGGCTGCTCCCAGCTGCCAGGCGGGCCACACAAATCAGTTGCACATAGGCACGTAATGAACAAAAAAAAAAATAGAAGAAAACTAAAAAAATGCCCACAACAAGAGCAACAAAAACAACAAATACAACAACAACAACAATATGGGGCATTCATAATGAGGCTCGTCTGATGATCATTTTAAAAATACATAAGGCGCTGTCTGTAGAATTGTAAAGAGCGCAATACATTTGCCTCAAGTAGTGGGAGTTCTTCTGGGATGGGGGCGTGGCAATTGGAGGAGTCGTGTGTGTGTTAAGTGCAGAGCAAATAAGCAAACGTGCTGTGCAGTGTATTCAAAGTTGTTGTCGCTGTTGTCTCTCTGGAGCTAGTCAAACATAAACAAACAACAAAGCAAGCAAAATCAAGTCCAAGTCAAGTTCTCAGGATTTGAGGCACACGCTAAAGTCAAACAAAAATGTTGCATCAATTTAAAAACAGACAAAATTTATATATACGTATTATATATATATATTATATATTATATATATTATTAGCTAGATAGATAGATATATGTATATATTACTCGTGGTTATAAACAAAATCGGAACTGAGTTGTTTAGAAAATGCTTCTGTTTTTCGGCTGCAAATAATGTCATCCTTAATTATATTCTTGGCTACGTTGAAATTTCTGCAAGCAATTTTAATGTTTTTATTTATGCAATGAATGCCAGAAAAATAAAGAACCCAACTTTGAGATGTTTGAACTTTGAAATAAACAAATAAATTGCTACGCTAAAGGAAGGCAAATATTGAATGTTTTTTTTTTTTTAGTTTTTACTTTGCATGTGCTACAAATAGCCATTCAATAATTGAAAAGAAATATACACAATATACATATATATTATTTAATAATATATATTCATGCTCGCAGTTTAGATAAACAACATATTTTTTAAATTAATTGTATTAATTTGTGGATACAAATTTAATTATCCGCTGATCACATTTTAATAATAAATGCAATAAATAATTTAAATATACGAAAATCAAAATGTGGGGACTGTTCTTATGATTTATAAAGACAGTAATTAAAAGTTGATATATCTTTTATTTTTGAATAATATTTAAAACTTGTCGAAAAATTATTGGCAGCAAAAATTAAAAAAGTCAATTCAACTTTAAATTTCAGCTCTAAACTGTTAAACATGAAAATATGTAGCTTTTTTTCACGATAATTTTGCATTTTTTCCGCCTTTATAAACCTCGAATAATATTTATTATCTTTTGTATTTTTGTTTTAATTTCATTCAATTACGTCTATTTAAAGTCATTCAAAATGTTGTTTAATTAAAACACAAAGAATGTTTATTTCTTGAATCAATTTGTCTACTTTCAACCCCCCTCCTCACCCGCTTCGGGCCGCGCCTGCCCATAGCCCACCTCAGGCAATATGCCCAAACAAATCGCTTACAACGCATTTAAATAACACACAGCACACACACACACACACACGCGACTGCAGTAAAGTGTGTATGTGTGTGTTCTGTATCTATGGCATTTTCAAGATATTTTTCGTGCGTAATTTCTTTTTCGATTTGTTTTCTCTGATTTTGTTTTTAGCTTTGCTACAATTTTGTATTCTATGGTCTGCGGTCTCCGGTCTCCGGTCCCCGATCTCAGTTCGCTGTTCCTCCGATTTTTTGGGGTGTCTACACTTGAATAATTTTTACGAGTTGAAATTGAAGCACTTTTTCTGACTGACAAGTGTGCCGGCTCATGTGTATGTATATGTATTATAGTATATATGGATACATATCTGTATATATATCTTCTACTGGGCCATGCGGTTAGTAGTCGTTGATTTATTTTTAAAAGTACTTAATGGATTTCAATTTCTTGACTTTCTCTGGCTTTGGCTACCTCAGCTGCTTCTTCATTCAATTCGTCATGCTGATCGTGGGGCGCAAATAGATCTGTGAGGCCTTTCCCGTTCCTGTCAGGTGCCAGACAAGTGTGAAATGTGCACGTGATGCAAATGAACTGCATTGGGGCTGGGGGCTGGGGGCGACCAGGGTGCACCGAGATTATGCAACAGTTGTGTGTGCATATGACACGACTCTAGAGGGCTTAGGTAATTCACAGCTAAAAACAACATTTAAAGGCTGAAGAGAAGAAAAGCACAGTGAAGCACACTTAACATTTGCTGCCTAATTAAAAACCTATTAAAACGGCAATTTCCTCTGTGCTAGACAGACATAAAAAGTCTCAGAAACGCCTTAACACCAGGCTATATACCTCTCTCCCTCTTGCTCTGTCTCTTTCTTACATTATTCTAATTCTTTTTCTGCTTCTATCTCTGGGCACTTATTCAGTTTATTTAATTTGGTTTCGTTTCTGTTGCTTTTATTTTTGTGGTCTCTAAATTGCCTAAAGTATTATCATATTATACTCTATCGAAAAGCATCGTTAACTGTCTTTAAAACCACCTGAGCACTAAGTTAGAGTATTTTTTTTTCTATCTTACGCAACATCGATAACAACAACAACAATTACCACTTATTGCAATAGATATGCATTTCGTTTTCTATATTATTTTTGAGTTATCTTTCAATGCTGATAAAAACGAGTTTTTGATTGTTTCGCCGAATCGAAATTGGGTTTCCTGTGTTAAAATTGGGTTCCTACCCCAATTCGTTCGATATGTTAAGAATCGCTGTACCTTATGCAAAATGTAATCCAAATTGAAGAACTGTTAAAGTGTATTGAATGTTATTAAACAAACAATTATTTTGTATGGATATATGCTTGTGACATTATCAAAGAACATTTTTTAATAATTTTTTTAATTGCGAATTAATGGAACATATTTATTATAATGCAGTTATTGCTTGCTACGATAATGAACTCTCAAATAAAATAATAAGTGAACAACTTTTCAACATGTGTAAAAGATTTTGTATACATTTTTAATATAGACTGTATCTGTATATAAAAATAATAATTTATGTATTATATATGATATCTTCAGTAAACACGAAAATAATAATTAAGTTTTGTTTAAAAAAAATTTCTGTTTTTCTATTAAAGTAAATATATATTTAGGTTTTCATATGCTTTTGTGCTAATAATATAGTCTTGAATAAAAATGTGAATTTTTCTAGTTATTAAAATCGATGAAATAATCTCTAAAGATTGATTATTAATATTCCAGTTTTTGTTGCTGTTTTCGTTGCTTATTAGAATAGATTAATTTCTGAGATTTAGATAGATTTATTGCAAACACTCGTTTATTTCTCATTTATTTATTTAAACATGAGAAAAATTTGTTTAAATTTCTCACAATATCTCGATTTTTCTTTAAATTTTACAGGGGCTTGCCTAAAGTCAACACAGCCTATTGATTTGATATTCTCTTTTGCTTTAGCTTTGGTTTTTGTTATTGTTGTTGCCGCTTTTGTTGCTAATTAGCATAGATTTTAAACGCTGCTTTTAAGCATTTGTTTAATGTTGTTGTTGTTGCTTTTGTTGCTGCCTCTTCATTTGCCTACACTTTTGGTGCTGCAGTTGCTGTTGTTGTTTTTGTGCTTGTTGTTTTTCTGTTTACGTATGCGTAATTTATTTGGGCAACATGCTGCATGCTTTTCCTCTGTCTCTCTCCCTCTCTCCTTCTGCCACTCTTGCTCACTTTATTTGTTTTTTTACATAGCTCACACACACAGAGACACTAACACACAGTTGTAATACAAACAAAATAGTTAGTTAATTAATTTATGGCTCGCGCGCTCGTTTTTGCAGCCACCCACCAACAGCGACGTCTACGTCGACGTCGACGACGACGTCAGCGCTGACGTCACAGCTGCGCTGCCTGCGCTCGCTGTGAGGTCAACGTGAGGCGGCAAATTACAAAAGCAACCAAGAACCAAAGCGGCGCACTTAGCGCTCAATTAATTGCAAATTCGTCGGTTTATATCAAAGACACTGTCCCACGGTCCCGCAGTCCCACTGTGCACTGTCTTTTGGCTTTCTGTGTGCCGCGTTCTTCAGTGCAACGCGTACGTGCGCCAACTGAAATGTTGAATCTGAATCTGCATTGAAATCTCCGAATCCCAAATACAACACGATATGCGGCGAGTGCGCCCAATTGGGCCCGTGGGGCGGGTCAACGACTGCGCACAGTGTGGCCGGCTAGATTTGTATCTGCTCAAAAAGCCGCACATATATATATATATATATATCATTCGGCCAGCGACTTGTCTTATCTGCCGAACTACAGAACTAGAACTTAGCATAATAAATTTGTTAAATGGCTAAAAATCGAAGCATGATCTCAGCGCTGCGAGTGTTAAACCTGACGCCTAATTGCAATTTCGCAAGGCGCAAAAGTTTTCTTATTAGCTGCAAGGTCACATTGAGACCATGAACCCATTACACTAGCCCACCGCAGCCCCTACCCGACCCTTACTACACGCAAAATAAACAAACATATTAAAGCCAAAAAGTTTGACGCATTGCGTCAGACCAAAATGTGCTACTACTTTGTTTTTACAGTTACAGGCGAAAAGAAACACACACAAACACAAGTGCACACGCTTTTAGTTATGCTATAAATAGCAACAGTTTCGTATACCAACAACGGTATTGTGTAGCGCAGTGTAATTGCTTTGTTTTCTTCCTTTCTTTCTTTCGATTTGTCGGAACGCGCTCGCGATCGCACAACGTCAAAGTCGAAGTTCTAATGGCAACTGAAGCTTCGCAAGCTTCGAAGCAGCGCGTCAGCGACAACCGACAACAGCAACAACAGCAACAACAACTGAGAACAACAACAACAATTGAGAACAACACTTTGTCACCTGGCAACCCGGCAGCAACGTTTCCTCTACAGACAGCGAGCCGGCCCCAACAACAATAACAACAAAAGCAAAACAAAAACAACTGAAACTGCGACGATAAGTTTGCCAAAGTTGTTAACTGCCTATTGTTGTTGTTATTGTTGTTGTTATTGTTGCTGTTGTTGCTGTTGTTGTTGCTGCTGCTGTTGCGGTTTTGTGCTCAACAAAAGCTAATTATTGTAGTATTCTCTGCCTCTCTTCCTTTCTCTTTCCCACACGCTCGCAAGCTCGTTCGTTCAGTCGCTTTGTTGCCTCTCTCTTTGCGTTCGATTTCCTGCCACCTCAAATCAATCGAATCCACCAATGGGAAGCTTGTCTTTTCGAGTAATACCCTTACAAAGGGCATAACCTGTTTCATATGCATCTGGATATTGTTTTGATATTATGTGAGCTAATATCTTATTGTTCAACATACAAGGCAACTTTATTAGGCACTTTTATTTTGAATATTTCGTTTTAAATACAAATATTTTTACCTATAAAAATTGCTTATAAATAAATTATAGTTAAATTCAGTTAAATTCAAGTTTCAATTTTAAGCAAAATTAATTTTAAATTATCGTTCATTTCTTAATATATTACTTTTATTACTGTTACTGTTTTTTTTTCTATAATTTTCTAAATACTTTTATATACAAAATTAATATGTAATATTACATTACACTCTACAGGAACTATTCGTTAAGTATCAGTCACTTATTTGTTTGGAATAGCTCAACGATGAATTAAAAGGTTGATCAAAAATATGTGAATCATTTACAAATTTTAACTGAAATATTTGTTTGCTGTAAGAGCATACAAAGTTCGCTGTGTTAGCCAAAAACACAAAAGGTTCAATTCTATTTAATTGTTGCTGTTAGAACGAAGCCCAGCTGTTTTTCTGAGCACCTGGTGCTTGCCAATAGAAGGTTTTGGCATTTTGCCAATCTATCGACAGCTGGAAACAGCTTTCAATTTCAACCACTCATCAGCTGGAAGTGATTTCGCCAATCTCGGCGCAAAGGCCGCTCAGAACGCTCGGAGCTTAGAAATACAATTAACACTCGTTAATCAGGCATGCGACTTTTGCCAAACGTCAATTGCGAGGGGCAACTTATCGGGTTTCTTTGATTTTAAATGGTTTTTCTGTTTGCTTAGCAATGAAATCATGCGCATAAATAAAAATAAAATAAAAAAAATAGAGAAAAAGCTCGCAAGACATAAATAAAATACTTGATAAAAGTAGAAAATCAAAATGTTAACTTATCAGACATGCAAAAAATATACACAAAAAACACACGTTTATCTATATCTGAACATATGTACGCCTGTGTGTTTGTCCAGTTTGTTGAGTTCTCGTACACACAATCTGTACTTTTATCAATATTTAATCAAGTATTTGCGTCGAATAAAAATAGGGAATTTCTTAGCACATGGCAAGAGTTCCACAAAATAATTTTAGGAAAAAATATGTTTAATAGCTAAGAAAATATGGGCGTTTGAGCAACGCCCAGCATTTTTAATTTAAATTTGAATAATCGTTTGTTCCATAGATAACAAATTAATGCTAATTGCATTTCAAATTTGTTTCACATTCAACTTGAACGACATTCAAAACCAATCCACACAACGCATTTATCTGCGGGCTCTGAATCATATGCCAGAATTCAAAATACATATTAAACATATTGTTTATGCGACATATTTCAGTTTTTGGCAACAGAAGCGTACGGCGAAATTGAAAACAAAAACTGGAAACACAAAAGCCAAAAAATATCAAATAAAAGTCAACTGTCAGCTGAGCGGCGCTACCCAAATAACAAAAACTACTTATAGATAGCCATTAGAAGCGAAAACAAGTCGGCGTGGTTCAGTCGAGAGTGCTCGACAAGAAGGTACCCTGTACTGAGTTATGACATAGCATAAACCACATCCGTATTATCATTACCAAGCATTATTACAATTAGTTTTTAATTATTATAAAATATGCCACCAACTGCGCTGCTTTTTCCCTTTATTAATTTTGACAAAACTAAAGTGAATCTTTTATAGTAAATCACCAGGTGAAGTAGGTATCACATAAATTGCTGAGAATCTTAGCGAAAGGCGACTAATTAAAGTTTGAAAAGTGGAAGAAAAGAAGAGGATGGTTTAATGACATTTTCTATTTCTTTCTCATTCATTTGGTCTTTCTGAAAATTAACAGATTTAGATCTTGTAAGAATTTAAGTTGGTAGGAAATATTAAGTTGACACATTTTAAGAGGAAAATGGCAGCCGCATTGGCAAAAGTTGAATCAGGATTCAGCTAAGACAGACAGCGTGCTAAATATAACTCCAATAGCCTAACACAGAAAATCGCATAGAAAGGCTGTTACCATCAAGTTTTCTAAAAGCGCTTGCTGTGTCAGATAATTTTATGTAAAGACAGAAATGGCAATGTACAAATCTGAGTGCTTCTTCCCATGTAGCCATTCTTCTATTTGTTGACCTTGAACCGCAAAACAAGTGCCTAATGTTTTACTTTGTTATTTGTTACTTCCAGGCCCAGTCGCGATATAAGATTGTGTTAAGAGGAAACGTCAATTTACTTAGATAGGCGCAAGCACCCAATCGATAATCGTAATTAGTTATTGATATGATTCCGGCAGAACGTAAACGAAGGCATTTTAAATTTTACCTGCCCCAAAACAAAGGCTGCAGCTGTGACATTTCCCAGGTATACTCCAGAAAATGACTCAATGGGTTCGCTGTGACTCGGTTTATATTCCCCCTGCTCATAATACACAATAAGCCAGCGGTCAATGGCACCCAAAGAGAGAAACATTCAAGAGTTTTTTCTTTTTTGCCAGTGGCACTTTAACTGTCGTCGACATTCCGACATTGTTGTGGTTTCTGGTTACCTGGGGCGGGGCTCTTAGCTCCATGTCTTGGCCAAGTGTCGCTTTAATTAAGTACCTCAGCCACCTTAATTGCCCGTGAAGCATGAATGAATGATTAAGTTGCATGTGCTACATGTAACTCAATATGCCACTTGATTTGAGCGTCTCTCGAAATGCCTTTGTATAGGCAGCATATAATAACAACTAATGGGCCCTGGTAGCGCCCACACTTTACGTTTTGGCCGAAAACTCGAAAGCCATTTATTTTTTATAAACATTTTCGATGTCGTGGGCTTTGAGAAGGTGTGGATATGATTACTTTGTCACGATAGTAGTCTGAATACAGACAGAAGACCATCAAATATTTATTCGCCTCATCAGTTCAAACACTCGAGTGTCCATTACTAAGCAATTTAGTTAAAGGCCTTAAAGGTGACTTATTAAGTATATTTCTTAGCTATTATTATTGCTGCAGACGGAACATTTCTCGTTTCCAGCCAAATTAACCCTTTATATTATTCATGCATATAATAAAAGGCTGTAAAACTTGACTTGAAAATTATATTCATAACTTTTTGTTTCTTTTCAGATTACTTGCTATCTACCTTTGATACCTTTGTTTTTGGCAAATAATATACAATCGTTCGATAATTGAATAATGATCAGCCCAGGAATGAGCCGAATGTAAGTAAGAATTTTTCTGTAAAAACTTATATTAAATATAACAAATATTTTGACTTGTTGGGCTTTAAAGCCAACACCTTTATTATGCTCAGAATAGAATTTACTTTCATATGAATTACGTCGAATATAATCATAGACATTTTTGATTAGGTTTTTTTTTATTGAGAATATTAGTATGTCATTCGGGAATTACGCGTTGCTATGAAAAAAATTTGTGAACTTAACGTCTTGCTTAAATCCGGGTGAAAATGACTGACTAGTGCATGGAGTTAGTTTATAACATCCTAGTTAAATTGAATATTTAAATAAGTTTGAACGAGTTCATTAAGCGTGGCTTAATTATAAACAATTCCTCGTTGCTTATCAATTGTCTTTTTGTTAGTTCTATACAAAATTAAGCGCTATTGTTGCTATCGCACACAGTTTTTATTGACAATAAATTCTGAAGTTCACTTTCGTTCCGACATATACCACGTCTATATGCATACTATATAAAGCACGAAAGAACTTTAACTAATGCCGGCTGTCTTATCAAAATTTGTGTCATGCCGTTGTAGTTGTTGTTGTTTCAGTTGTTGTTGTCACCGTAAACAAAGGCAGAATAATAAATAATATGAAGCACAAAAACATTTACAATGGGTTTCTTGTTGGCGCACAGTGCGTATAATTAATATGCGCGAATCGCGCGATTTATTGAAAGTTTTCGCCTGTGACAGGTGAAATTTTATAATTGAAAATATTCAAAAACAATTTCTAATAATAATAATAATAAATTAAAATAAAATATCCAGAGTGCGGCCCAAGCGCTGGCCCAAAACTTCATTTGCATGCCGTACCCCATGCATCCGGTCATTAAAAAATTAATTGAACTATGACCAAAAGCCGACTCGAACAACCCGGTACAGTATAATTTAAAACGTATTAAAATCACAAACACACGCACACATTTATCTAGATCCATAGACAAATAGAGCGACAGACACAAAGCACAATTTGGAGCGCACATTTTGTGCCATTTTCGGTCGGTTATTGGGTATATAATATTAAAAATAATATTATTATATATTATCATATCATATGCGATCATAATTAAGCCGCATTTCGGTCTATCTCTGCATATAGAATCGCCTACCTTAAAAATAGTATTTCTTAATAAGTGCTTATCACACTTTGATTTAAATATTTAATGAACCGAAGGTCGTCGCGTTTCTTGTACCCACCCGTATAACAGTTATATCTGTACTGTGCTACAATAGCATAGAGGGGATTTGTCTAGGTTAAGCATGGACTGGCATAGTGGAATATAAGGGGATTTCAAATGGAACTAGAAAAAAAACTCAACTCCGAACTTTGCGTTCGCAATTTGCGCTCTAATTTGATAAGGTTAATTAATGGCAAGGGGCATAAAAATTATGAACTCACGTTGTGCTCGGGGCCGGAGAGTGAACGTTTACTGGTAACGCCTTAAGCTGCAACACACACGCGCACACACATTTAGTGAACACACACACACTGACACACGCGCACTTGCAAGTGGTAAATGGGAAGCAGACAAAATCTCTTTTGGGCTGTTAACAATTTCACGCGCGCGTCTTAACAGTTGTTATTGGTTGCTGTTGCTGTTGTTGTTGTTGCTGTGATCAGCATCGTATTCTTTGTTGTTGTTGTAGTTGTTGTTGTTGTTATTGTGTGTGCAAAATAACACTCACTCGCGTATTCGCACTCGCACTCACACACTCGCACTCGCACTCACGACGACAACTTGACTTGGCAAAACTTCTGTAGTAACTAAATAGCAGGGGCCCACGGTATCGTATAGCACAGAACAACGGCGTATTTGGCGACAGCGACGCGCACGTTGGCAGCGACAGAGCAGCGTCTGTGCGGCACAGTGGTACACAAGCGACTAAATGATCTTAAGATTTAAGAAAAAATATATGTAGCTAAAAATAATATATTTGCTTATTTTAATTAATTGAATACATAACAATTCCATATTACAATTCACCAAAAAAAATTGAGTTCAAAGGGAAAACTTTATTTTACTGAGAATGAATAAAATTATAGTTAAGTCAGAGACTGAAGTTTATTATTCTATACAAAATTTATCAAGCGAATATTGGAAATAATTCCAGTGCAAAAATCTGTTACGCTGCTTCAATATATCGGGTTTTAACGACTCCTGCTCATGGCCCACGCTCAAAAGCTTGTTTCGTGATCTGCTAATAGAATTGTGCCACTGTGCCGTGCCTTTTGATTAGTTTGACGTTTACTTGTTGCTGCCCGCGTCGACTGCGACGCCAGCTGCGAGTGGTGGGTGCTTTGAGTCTCAGCCTCTGCCGTCCGCTTCGGGCTCTGGGAGCTGCTCTGTAGCCGGCTTTGGCGTGACTTGTTGACGATTTGTTTTTATTTTTGTTTTTGTTTGTTTCGACGCGCTCTGCGCTTGGCGGGCACGAACCACAGATCCGATATTTTCCAATTTGTATGCATAAATTCACACACAGATGCACACACGACAAAAAGGGGTGCGGTGCAGGCGGGTGTGAAGGGGGAGAAAGGAGGCAATCATGTTGTGTCTCTCCCCATCAACGAGCTGTGCTGTCCAAGTGAAACAAAAGAACCCAAACAAACAACAACTTGTACAAGCTGCGAGTACTCGCACTCACACTCGAGTACTCATACGAGAACGGGTACTCGTACATGTGCGCATCTGGTTTAGGGCACGGGCCTGCAGCTTACACTCACATGTCTCTGGAGTGGGCACAGTCCTCATAATGATGACAACGATGGCATATAGCGGGTGGTGTTGTCAGCTCCACGGGCTGTACGAGAAGTCTTTGGGTATTTAATTGCAAGCGTATAATAACTTTCATTAAATGATAGAAAGTGTTATCCAAATACTAAAAATTTTCGACAAAAAATGTTGCATGAATAAATTTTCAAGTGTGGAAAATAGAATTTCCAAAAACAAGTGCTCTTTAATCACATTAGTTTACTAGAGTAAAAAGTTCAGCTTTCTAGTTCTTACAGCTCGAGCTGTATGCAGCTGATCAATCAGTAAATCATTTGAATATTTATTCAGATTGCCAGCTGCATATTTTGTATTGTGTTATAAAGTCTATTTCACACCCTCGAGCATTATCTATGTTCTTTTTATGGTTTGGCAATATAAAAATATCATATATCAAGTTTTATATGCATTAGATAAGAAAGATTACCAAGTATTCGGCATAATATTGCCATTGATAGAAATATAGATTTGTGTTGCTTGAAATGCAAATAGAACGAGTACATATTTTTATTTTAAAATACTGGAGAACAACCTCACAGCTTGCCCTCGCGCTCAAATAGTTTTAACACATAGTCGGGTATGCCGTACTACGAGTTACCACGCAGACATGTTCTATACATGTGATGTTGTCAGACTGTATGATGAATAGACTGGAATACAAAAATGCAATAAAGAAATCTACATGAAAGCAAATAAAAAAATATCTTAATATATTTCCACTCAAACTTATATACTCCATCTCAAAATTAAAGGTATGTGAAGAATTCAACACGAAATAGTATTTAATTTATTGACGTATAATATACCCCATAGGTAGCTTGGTTAAAGGGTATATAAATTTGCCTGTTGCCGGCTTTAGGCGCTGCTGTCCACTCGCACTACTTCCCTCCCTCCCTCCTCTGCCACCACCCTTTCATTCAGCAGCGCGTCGTCAAGCTCCAACAGGCAGCGGCAAGGGCGTGTCCCGTCGCCCTCTATCCCTCTGTGACTGACTGTACCCGTGCCTGTGCATATCTGAAAGGGGTCGGGGGGTCAGCTCTGCTTGGACTCGACTTGACTCGACGACCGTCTGACAGAAAGTAGACAGACGACAGTTATTATTGCCCCAGCGCGAGTGTTTTTCTGTTTTCCAGCTTTTGTTATATTATTTTTTGTATGTTTTGTTTTCGTTTATGCGCTGAAATGTGCGCCCCCAACACATGGGATTAGGGAGAGACCGAAGCAGAGGCTGGGGCACCGGCCAAGGCACAGCGCACAGCGGCAACTTTATGACATTATTGACAATACGTTTGCGGCAGGGCGGGAGGCGTGGAGGGTTCTTCAATGCGCTGGCTATGTGAATAATGAGCTCACTCGCAATGCCGCTGGACAGGCATTACTTAGTTGTCGCAGAACCTGCAGTCCGAGAGCGCCTGTCAAGTGACTGTCAATGCAAAGGACAGCCAAGGACAACAGAGGCAGCCACAGGACGGACCACAGCCGTCAATTCTGATTTTTCTTTTTCTGCATTGGATTTGCTTTAAGCTGAGGGGCATATCTATCCAGAGATATATATGTATATTTTTTTATATATACGGTTTTTTTTTTTAATTTTTATAAAAACCTTAACAAAGTTGTCAACACCCGCATGTGTGAAAACCCAAGGCAATTAAACGTTTTTTTTTTTTTTTGAGCCAAAATTACATGACATTTTGGGTAACACAAATTATATAGAACGTTTCACAGCGTTAGAGTAAATGCGATTTAAAAAGAGACAAGAAATGTGAGGAAGAGAGAGAGAGAGGAGTGCGAACAGAAATTTTGTTGGTTGGTTCCCAAGCTTTAACATTCTTTTCGAAAGTCTTGATTGAAAATGGTTGAATTTATGGGAATATATGCATGTCTAGCACTCAAAAATAAATGAAAGTCAGCAAGCTGAAAAAAGGCGTGCAGAGCCTTAAACATGTAAAGTTATATAAAGCAAGCGCTATGTTAAGTTTATTGTTATGCTGTTACATCAATGTTTATGATAGGCAATGTTAACACCAATGTTAGGCTGTTCCCAGCATTGTTAATATTAACAGCAACATCAGAGTAAAATGGTTAACAGCGAAGTTAATATTAGCAAAGACAATACGAACAATTTATATTCTCTTTGATATTAGGCTTTTAACAGCAATAAATCAATGTCACACTGTTAACAGCACTGTTATGTGAGGCTTTGCTTATCGCTATGTTAAGCCGCTGCTAACTGCTCACCTGCTGCGGTTGCGGCGCCATTTGGCAATGCTTGACTTTTGCGTTGCAAATATGGCGTGCCGCAGTGTGGGCAAGACTCCATTTCCGTTTCCTTAGTACTTGCCGCTATTGTTGTTGTTTTTGTTGTTGCGCTGCAAGCTCAGTTAATTAGGCAAATCTTGCGCTGGTGGTAGATGCTTTTTGTTGTTGTTTCTCTTTTTTGCTCACCTGCTGAGTGCCAATATTAAAGGACCCCGCGTACGCTGCGCCTTAAGCACGTTCAACAGCTGCGCATCGCTCAAGGCGACATCCTGCAGGCGCAGCGAGGACTGCAAAGGCCAAAACAAATCATTTTTATACACACTTAACTTAAACCACAATTTATTATTTTATGTAAACAAAAGCACAAGGCGCACACATTTTCACTTAGGAACTACAATAACTAAGCTTCTCATACACTTTTGGACACACGTTTGGCGGGCAGCGGGGGCGGCTTCGACTGCTGCCCCCCGCGACGCAGCGAACAGAACTTAAGCATGCTGCGGTTGTTGTTGTTGAGGCCGCAATGGATAACACAAGACTGGCCGCTGGATAGTCGGAATATGTCGAGCGCTCGGCGCTCATTTGGTGGGCGTTAACGCGGGCGATAAGGCACAGGCCATGCCAGGGACGACGACGGCTACGCCAGCGTGCAGATGCCGTGCCGCTCCATGAAGACCTCCAGGCACGTGGCGTCGACGCGATCAAAGAGCAGCGAGCCGAAGCGTCGCGCCGTATAGTCGACAATCAGCACCATTTTGCAATTGATGCACTTGTCCCGATAGTGGAAGAGCAGGCCGACCGACTGGTGCACAATGTGATCCACATAGCCCGGCGCCGAGCGATACACCTGATGGTTGCCCATCTCCACAATGGAGCGCGCATTGACCACCACCTTGCTGCGCACATACGCGGGCAGCACCTCGAGGGTGCGTCGGACCTTCGACTGGGTGTAGAGCACGCGATTCATGAGGTGGGCCGGGGCATTGAAGGTGTCATTGCTGTCGCGCCTGTAGAAGAAGACGTTGCGAAAGACAAAGCCCGAGGTGCGTCCCTCGTCGCACTGCCGCAGATAGTCCGCCAGGGAGTTGTGCTTGAGGGGCATCATTACCTCGTCCAGATCCACCACAGCCGCATAGCGATGATTGTCCACGATATTGGCGCGATAGACGCAGTCGTTGAACTGCGCAACGATGCCCGCATAGTGCAGATCATGCAGATGCGCCTGCACATTCCACTCGAACACGTCAGCCAGCCCCTTTTGCTGGTAGTGGGCCAGCACGCGGCGCACCTCCTCGCTGGCCTCCACATAGTAGAAGTAAAAGTGCGTCGCGCCCTGCAGTCGGTACATCTCCACGAACTCCACGAGGCGCAGCACATTCGAGTAGTTCTCCTGAAGCGGGCCGACGCACACGGAAATCGTGCGTCGCGACTTGGCAAACAGCTCCGACATGTTCCGGGGATAGCTGAAATCAGCAGCAGGACGTAGAGCCGGCACTTAGGGCATATATTCGCTTAGCTTACCTGATTTGCACGTAGCTGGGACTCAAATGACTCAGCCGATTCGATGCGTAGCTGAGCGCCACAGCTTGGGGCAGGCGCACTGGCGACTTTTTTGGCACATGAAGCGGGCACATAATACTCCATGCCGCAAAGGTATTATTGTGCACATCGTGCATCGCGCCCGCCTCCTCGGCCACAATCTCGTAGCTGGTGAAGTCCGCGAAGCGCACAATGCAGCTCAGCCGCGAATCGCGCAGACGCACCGGCAAAATTGCAAAAATCCGTACTGATCCAACCGTCATCTCCTCGTCCAGCCTTACGCCGCCTGTGCAGAGTAGAGAGTTTATAAATATGAATATCTCTGGGCAAAAAGTTGAGATTACTCTGTTCAGAACTGTTCTTATTAAAGAGATCTGCAGATATCCACACTTGGGTGGCTTAGATCATTTTCTATTCTTCTCTGTCTAGAAAAGTAGCTACTATTTAGCGAAGAGCCTTAGACCTCTCTCTCTGGACCTGGGTACTTGAATAGCATATAAAGCGTAAGCTTCTGATATAGCTTAAAATATGATTAACAGATTGTTGGCTAACATAAGAAAAGAAAAATCAAATTTCAATTTAAACTTCATATCTTAAAGATTTTAGATACCTTAGTAATACGAACTCTGAAGCAGTACACAAAATATATGGTATGCATATAAATTATTTAAATGCATTACAAATCTATTTAATTTTCTGTATAAAACTAACTGCGATTTCTTCTTGCCTCATAAATTATTTAAATCTTTGATAAATTAATTCAATTCTATAGTATAAAATATACATATACCGTAGAGGTTCCGGATATATTTTTAATGATTTGCGCACAGTGTATTCGATATTATTGTGATGATAAATTGTTGATGATGACATAATTATCTCCTCTGACAAACAGACTATTTAATATGCTTTTCTAGACAGAAAACTTTGCAACAAAACAAAAAAATATTCCCCTCTTATTGTTACATTTCTATGGCTTTTAATAAGCATCCGCAGTGGGATTTGGTGGGACGAAGTTATTCCGGCTAACTGTGTCACGCGCTTAAATTTATTCTTATTTTTATATACAAGTTAGAAAGTTTCTCTCAGCAAAATATTTGCACATCTATTCTTGTTTTTGGCATAACACAAAATAAAGTCGCGAATGTGAGTCATGCCAGAAGCTGCTAAAAAAACAAGTCTATTCAAGACAGAGCCCAAATTTAACCACATAAAATGGTCGCATTATTTTCCTAGATAAGCAAACGGTCACATTAAATAGGTATAAAATTAAATAATAATGGAATCGGAGCTGTCGGTGATAAAGAGAAGGTGGGCGTGCCCAAAAAATGTTAATTCTGTTTGTTTGGCACTTACTTATAATATCCGTGCGCACATCGAAATATGCGGCATATATCTCATGCCTTAGCGATGCATTTCCGATGCGTCGCCAGCTGTTGTTGTAGTTCCAGTGCGGATTTGGCTTTGGATAGAAGAGTTGCCGCTGCATCAGCTTGAGATCATCGCGCAGGCGTTCATTCTGCAAAGGCAAAGGCGCAGGCAATAAATATACACTTAGTACACACACATAGTTCACACACTCATCGCACACACACACGCACACACACTCACAATTGTTGTGCGCATGGAGATGTAGAAGAGTATCAACATGGTGCAGGCCACCAGACCGGAGAGCGTAAAGTAAACATATTGAAAACGATTCTCTGGTGCCGCCAGCATTTTTAACAACAATTTTATATATCTATCAGATATATATATACATATATTTAAATTTGTTTATATGTACGTGTCAGATTTTTAATTTAATTATTTTATTAGACCGAACCGAACACTCGACCTTGAGTGCCGCACGCAGCCGCACCGAGCCCCGAGCACAACCTGGTAAATTGTCCTGCTGCTGCCTGTTGCCTGTTGCCCACGGCGGCGTCCAGGTGTGAATTACAGTTATGCGACTTGTGCGACAAGCTGCCTACTCGTGACTACAAGTGTCATGCGGTTCAGGAGTCGCCATCGGCAGTCGCCAGTCGACAGTCGACAGTCGCCTCAGCTGCGGCCACCAACAGCTGCGCTGTTTATTTTCAACGTTGACGTCGACGTCGTCGTCGACGCTGATGCGCAGCCAACCCCAAAGCGGCTCCTGTTGCTTGTTTGCTTTCAGTTTTGTTGATGGGCGACCATCGATTAACGATAACACGCTGCGAGGCAGGGGCAGGGGCAGGGGCAGTGGCTGGGCTGTGGGCCGAGGGGGCGTTTACAGCTCGCGGGCGTCTTTCAGTGTCATCATCGACGGCAGCCCCGACCTCGGCATTCTCGGTCAACTAACCAACTATTTAGCTACACTCGTAAAAACAATTGTCAAAATTAAGATATTGGCTATAAAAATCATTTCAGAGAAAAACTTTTACTAGGATCACAGAATGAAAATGCCTGAAAATGGTAGTTTAGTGTTAAATGTATATGCTAGTATTCGGAAAGCAAGGATACTGGTCGAGCTTTGAATTTTTTTGAGCTTTTAAAACGCAAACACAAGCACTTAGCTGCTTTTTAAACTGAACTTTTAAATTTGGATTGCTTAAAAACCAGTGAATAGACGAGCAGCTGCTTATTTGCAGTTTTGATAAGCTATATTAAACTGTCGTGTTCAAAGCGAGAAAGCAAGAAATCTCAAGTATAGTAGATAACAGAATTCAAACGTTTTTCACTGATTTCATAATTTATAGTGTTGCAAAATGAGGGATAAATCAGTGTCTTCCTTCAGTGTTGGTGAAGAGGCTATGAGTTTTGTTGTTGCTTATCACAAATAAGCTATTTTAAATCAGATTCTTTTCGAAATTGATTTCGCATTTTGTTTTCCGTTTTTGTGTCTTGTAGTTTTGTAGGTCGCACTTTCAGCTTGTATCATTTGTATCTATAAAATCAGTATTATTGAATTTAAGGGCGACTTTCAGTTTAGTTGTGAATAATTTTTGCGAGTGTTTGTTTGCGGTTTGTGCACATACGCTGGTCTGCTGCGGGAATCGAGGCGGAGGGACCAGGACTGAGCAGCAGGACGGACAGTTAGTGGCGCCCGCAATACGCAAATGATTATGGCACCCACGCACTCACACACACACGAACCCACACACAAGCACACGCACACACGGACACAACAAGTGTCTGGGGCAGGACTCGGGCTCGACGCGTATGCAACAAGTTAATCAACGTACGTTTCGCATGAAACTGGCGCCATCGGCGACTCTGTCAACGCGACGCCAGCAGGCGGCAAACGTCGACTGCACAGTCAGCGTCAACGCCGACGCAGCTTTTCCTACTGCTGTGTGTGAGAGTGGGTGGGTGGGCGCGTGGCGGGAGGGTCGGTGGGGATGTAAACGCACTTCACTTTAACATGAATCGACTTTATAAATTGTATGTTTTGTTTCTCAATTGGAGTGTCCCACTGACTGACTGTGCGTGTGTGTGTGTATGTGTATGCCCAGTCTGTGTGTGTGTGTGTGTGTGTGTGTGTTTCTTTGAGTCAGCAGCATTTCGTGGCATTATAAATTTAAGCTATTTTTAAATGAAAATACACGAAAAATGTAAAGAATAATATATATATATAAAAAATATATTCCAAAACATTTATTAGATTTGTCTGGGCCGTCCAAAAGAAAATTTATTATTATATATATATATATATATATATGTATATGCATATATACTTGTGTATCAAAAATTTTCGACTAAATGAATTTGTTGTTGTTCATAATTGCCAAGCGGCACAGTGGGCCGAAAGTGGTTCACTTGGTTGAGTATTTTATAAATTGAAGATTTATCATTTTTTTGGTGTGGTATCTTGTTTTAAGTTTTATAAGCAGAGGCTTCTTCAATAAATAAGTTGAGATTTGTATTTCGATTTAACTTTCTGTTACATTTGTTACATTTTTTATTTATTTTCCAATTCAATATTGAGAGGCGGAGCACAAACAAAAGCTAGATGTTGCAGACTTATAATGTTTTTGAAACAATTATGAAAAAACAGAAACACGTATTTTTGATAGCACTCGGTCCACTGTGCAGTGACCGCTGTAGACGGCTTTCCATGCTCATTCCTTTAGCTTTTGCCTCTGCTATAATTTTTTATTTTTCTTGCCGTTTTTTCTGAGTTCCATATAAAAAGCAGACTGCTTCGATTCATTTAGATTAATTTTTCATTTCATTAAGCTCTGTCAATATGTTGCCATAGAGAATGCAAACGGAAAGAGAGCTTTCCATTTAATGAATAATGTGGCAATGGGGCAGGGCATTAAATGCGAATCAATTGAAACACTCACATGCAGAACTGAACGTTCGATGAGTATATACAAATAAATAAATATCACTAGGCACAGAAAATGTTGCAATTTCGGGCGAAACGTGAAACGAAACATTTTAAAAAGAAGCAAAATAAAAAAGAAATCAGCTATGCGACATGATTGCAAACGCTGCACGGCCAGGTGAGAACTGTTTACCTGTTTCGGCTTCAAATTAAATTGGGCACGTTATCGGGCCGTCAACTGATTAAAGTTCTTATCGGCAGACGGACATGCCAGCCAGCAGCGGGCTTATCTGTGAATATAGTTAATAGACTAATACCTGAGTATTGATTGCTTGTAGGCAGCTGCCTTTCCGCCCAGGGTGACCCGCATGCGACAGTAGCTGGTCGCAAGGCAACCAGCATAAAAGTCCCTCGCGGCTGCCCACCAGTAGCCAACTGTCTGACGCAGGCGCAGCAGAAGCCCAACCCCAGAAACCAGAATGAATATTTGCCAAAATACAAGAGAAAAAATCGCCCCTTTTTACAATTTCCAGTTGGCGGTGTCAAGCGTGAGAAAGTTAAGGAGATTGTTCGCGTTTCGAGGATAACTAATTCGTGTAAATCTTGACTGATTTATATGCACTCAACTATATACAAATCAACTGGTTGCAGCTACAGTTCCCAGCCAAACGAACTTCTCATAGATCTGCTTGTGTTTGTCTTGTGGTGGTGGCATTTACCCACCACCAACACGGGCAGCACCACAATACGACTCCTGGGATCGCATACCAGCATAAACATGACCATTTCAATGCATTCCCGTATATCTGGAACCCTCGTCGGCTGTTATGACCCAGCGGCACGCAGGCCACCGGCAAAGCGGGGCACGCCTGCGTGCTCTGGGCGCACATTTTCATTTCATGCGAAAGTATTTTCAATTGTTGAACGGAACGTGGTTGCCCCTTTGTCATATTTGGTGGTGGTTTTCTTGTCCCAGCTATAAATACTCCAACAGATCAGCGCTGCGGCACAGTTCTGTTTGAAGTCTTACAAAGTGAAGTATAAAAAAAGAGTTTCCGAAAAGTCTAGAGTTTTTTAACTAAATTAAAGCAGCTGAGCCGCCACCGGTTTCTGGTGGCGGCTGACCCAGCTGAGAATCTCTAAAGTACAGTCTTTAACCACGTGTAAAGTAAACCAGTTGAATGCTGTCTCAGGTCTTGTAAGTATGCTGGCAGAGCAAATGCCTTCGAATTGTTTTATAACAATGCAAAACTTCATCTCTAGCTGGACAAAATTAAAGTCGAATATACGAAAATTTCATCTCAAATGGAACGCTATAAATGATTCTTTAAATGTTAGCAAGAGGAAAGAAAACTATGCTACATAAAACAAACAAAAAATAAAATATTTGAATTTGCGGAACATGGAAACATTATCATCTCCAAGCCATCTTTACAAACCATTCTATGAATCCATATCGAAAGAATGCAAAAAATCATTGAATAAATAGAACTCTTGAAAAAATATTCTTAAAGATAAGATACCAACTAAATGTTCTTCGCTTCAATTCAACTTTTTATGTAAAGAATAATGTCAAAGAGAATGTCTGAAGATTTGGAACGCTTTTTATATAATGTCAAAAGAAAATCTAAAGATTCTTAATATCAGCTAAACCCATAATCAAGATTTTTGTTCAAAAATAAAACAAACGTCGAAAGGATCGAGATCATGCAGTTCGGATTGGCATTCTCCTGGCGCCCTCACACAATTATCCCACATAATAATATATAACAATCTGAGGCTTTGCGACAATATCTTCCATTTCACTTAGGATATTTTTGTGCCTTTTTTCGTTTTACATTTCTCTTTAGTTTTGTTGCTGTATTTTCGTTGACTTTCGTTAGAAAAGCTATAAATTTGTTGGTCTAACAATATTCTTGTTAAAAATTTCCACTCAAAAAAAGAAACATTAATACTTTAGAATTAAAAAAAAAAAAAAAAACAAATGTAAAATCGCGAAATTTTTAACGATATGTATTGCCAATAGCAGGCGTGTTTTTGTTACAAAATGAATTTGTTATTGATTTAAGTTCGTCAAAATCTTTTAGGCTTTGATTTCTTTTCAATTTTTTTTTCAATTTTGAGTTGGTAAGTTTTAATTTTCAATTTTTATTTATTTCAAATTTGTTGGTTTAAACTTCATTAATTTTTGTTGGATTTATTTAAAATTTTAATTGGTAAGTTTTCAATTTCAATACTTTATTTGTTCCAATTTCTATTCGGTTACTTAATTATTTAATTTGGTAAGTTTTTAGTTTAATTTATTTATTTACATTGTTTATTTTTTTGTATATTTAATTTATTCAAATTATTATTTTTTAAAAACTTCGTTTTTTTATGTTATTTGATAATCACTTGCATTATAAGTTCATATTATTATTGTTTTGTATTGTTTTTGTGTTTAAAATATTTTATTTTATTACGTTCATATTTATTGTATATTATGATTTATTCTTATATTTGCCTTCACATATAAACAAACTGTACTTACACATGGTACACAAATTTTTAATTTTCGAATATATGAGTTTTCTCTACTTTATTTTTCTCTATTGTTTGTTTGTTTTTTATTTTATGTTCAGTTGAATTTGTATTTAATTTTGTACATTTTTAATATTTAATATATATGGCTATAAATATCAAGTTTTTTTTTTAAATTTTACTTGCATTATTATTTAATTTTGAACCTTTTAAATTTTATTGTTTTAAAGTATCTTTTTTGTTTTATTCAATACGTTTTTTATATATAATTTTTTTATACACGTTCTTTTTGATATTTTTGTTTGATTAAATTAATGTTTTAAATTAAACTCTATCATTTTTCCATTATATTTGTTTATCATGTTTTCATTGAGTTAATTTTCAATCCGTCGAAGATCTACAAAAGCGTTTGGTAAGTTTATATTCTTTTAATTTTTTTCGCTCTTATTTTATTTCTTAATATTTTCAATAAATTTTTATTTTCTTTTTGTTAACACTATTTTGATTCTTTAAGTTTAACTTTTGTATGTTTGTTTCTTACTGTTTCTTTCTTTCTTTAAATTTGTTTCGTTTATTTTCGTTTTTATTTTCGATATCAATAATTTTTTAACTGTATCATTTTTGTTTATATTTTGTATTTAACTTTTGAATACATTTTATTTATTTATTTTCAAATTCGTCTTTATTTCTTATATTTATTATTTTATTTATTACATAAAATTTATATTATTTGCTTATTTGTCTTTATTAATATTTCATTTTATATGATTATTATTCATTTTATAAATTTACGTTTACTCTTATATTTACTTTTTATATATTTTTCTTCATTTTTATTAAATATTCACTGTCTTTACTCCGGGCCAAAGTGTCTACAGTAATATTAAGTTCTAACTGATTTCCATCTTGTTTCTAAACTGGGATTCTCTTAAAAGTATTTCATAAGTTTTGTGCGCACAACGCTGACAACAAACAATAATTAATAATATAACATAATAAACTGTTCTTTCAATGCATCATATCTTAAAATCTTTTATTCAAATATTCAATTATGTAATTTCTGAGAATCTTTTGAGCTGTTTATTGAGCAAAATGCGTGGACATAAATATTCATAATTTTAGCTTAGAAATTAAACACATAAATAGTAGAGATTATGTTAAGCCACGCCCACAAGGCGGCTGCTGCGGCTGCTGTCCCTGTCACTGCGCTGCCTTCTTGTCCTGGCCCTCATCGTTGGCCCGGGACTCGTCGGGCTTGGGCGCCGTTTGGGCCGCAGCTGCTGGCATGTTGGCGCTCCCATTACCACTACCATCACCTATTGAGTTAGCGGCATCGCTTGGACTCTCTGGAACCGCATTGCTGTCCCGGTCAAACAGATAACTGCCGCCTAGAGGGCGTGGTCGGCCACCATAGGAAGAGCTACAAGGGGCGACAAGAGAGCGAGCCTATCTTAATGATTTTTACAATTCCGCACAGCTTCGCATGCTACTCAGCTAAACAGAGTCGAGGTGTGGGTGAAGTTCGTGTGTCTCTCGGATTAGGCTGGCTCTGCACCCACTGCAACTTACCTCTGTGAATCGCGCTCTCTGTCCCGACCAACTCCGCCACCGCTGCCACCGCCACCACCTGAGCTGCCACTGGCAGCAGCAGACGACGAGCTGCTGCCACCGCCACTGCTGCTGCTGCCGCCGCTGCTGCCGCCCCGTGAGCTCTGATTGTCTTGGTCGCCCAGATATGTCCAGCTGCCCTGGCCAATGGGCTTGCCCATGACGCTAGTGTGGCCGCCGCGATATCCGTCGCTGTCAATGGCCGAGGAGGAGACTTTTGTGCCGCGATCGCCGTGGGGGCAGTTGCTGACTAGGTGGCCGCAGGGCGAGGCGGGGGCAAGCGACGAGGCGCGTTCGCGATCATAGTACGGCTGCGCACCGGAGCGACGGTCGTCGTCATCCCCGGCAAAATAATAGCCGCGCCCCGAATTGTCGAAGCCCGACTGACCTCTGGGCGCAGCGGATTTGCAGGCAATTGGATTGGGTGCGTGGGTGCAGTTAAGGACAGATCAGGACAGGACAGGAAGTGGGTGGAAGTGGTGCATTTAGTTCCGTAATTCAAAATTGGCGTAGAGTATCCAGAGTTCATGTTGTTGTGGTGTTTTGTGTGATTAGTAGACATTGTTGTTGTTGTTGTTGTTGTTGTTGTAGGCGTTGGTGATCGTGTTGTAGTAGTTGTTGTTGTTGTGTTGTATGTAAGTAAAGAGCATTGACAACATTGGTACGAAAACAAACAAGCACTAGACATAATAGTAATAATAGCAATAGCAGGATAGCGATACCTGTAGGTCTCATCCCATGGACGATAGTTGCGAAAATCATACCTTGAATAGTAGCGATCGTACGGATCGTATCTGTCGTAGCTGGAACGTGAACGATCATAGTAGCGATCTGCAATGAAAGGAAGTTAAACCAGAGATACAATCAGGCAAATTCGTACTTTACGCACCACGCGAACTGTCACTGTAACGATCGCCGTAGTAGCGATCCCTGCTGTCGTAGCCAGCGTAGCCGCGATCGTACCCGGAGCCCCGATCGTAGCCCGAGGAGGAGGAGCCCCTTCTGTAGTAATCATCATAGCCACGCCCCTCGTAGCGATCATAGGTGCGGGGCGAGTAGCGATCGTCGCGACTGTAGTATCTGTCAGAGTCACGATCCCTGCCGCTGCCACCGCGATCCTCGTAGCGATCGTAGGAGTAGTACCAGGAGCTGCGCGGATCATCGCCGGCGCGACTCGAGTAGCCGCCATAGCCGGCACGATCGCTGCCGCCATAGCGATCGCTGCCGCCGCCATAGTACCGATCCTCGTAGCAGCGCACGCAGCGCGACTGACGACTCTTGCCCAGTGGAGCAGCGGGCGGGCCGGCTGTCAGCTGCTTGTCGTTGTCCGTGGGCGTGACACTGCGTGGCTCGGGTCCTCGCAAAGCGGCCTGGACCGAAACAACGGCCAGGCAGAGCAGCTGCAGAGAGAGAGAGAAGAGTTGCGTGATCATTAGCCGATTGTTTATGGACAGATTTCACAGTCCAGCGACCAACTGGGCCAAAGCCCTCGCAGCCGCACGTACAGCCTCCAATCATAATTGACGAAAGTACTGCCAAAGTGCTGCTCGAAATACAAAGCCACATGTAGAAATCATCAGCAGCGTCATTATCGTCATTAAATATGGACACTCCGAGCCAGCGAGCGTGAAATATGATCAATGGACGACGAGCTCTAGCTCTGGCTTGGCGGTTCGATTATGCAATAATAGAGCATAGATTTGGGGCTCGAATGACGGCCAACACCTCAAGTGCTCATAATATTAGTTGTAGAATTAATTAAAGCACAGCCCAAATCTCATATTCATATGCATAAAATAGCATTGACATCATTTTTTGTTTTCATTCATGGCTCAAATCATAAAGTTCGCTGTGGGGCGCACCACACACCACCACCAGCACCACCACCACCACCAGTCATATGTGATTCCCCTGCCTTCTCTCTCTTTCCCTTCACAAAAAAAAAGAGTTAATCATGAATATATGTTGGCGAGCTGCTCCGCTACGCTTTGTTAGTCAAGCATCAGGAACAACTTCCGCTGGCTGGGGTTGGCTTTAGCCAAAAACCACCGACTGGCTGGCCAATCGGTGGATCTCGAGTTCGTGACTTGTCGCTGAGTGTGTGCACAATTTATTAGAATAATTATCTTTTTGTTTTCTGTTTAAGCCCAAACATATATCTGTATATCAAATGGCTGTCGGTCAACAGGCGTTGCCATCAGCAATTTCGGGGCGGCAATTCTACAAAATATCCCATTTACATAATATACCTAAAATTTTAACAAAATATTACATCATAAAGCAACAGTTATGCGCTTGTGAGCTCCACAGAATCAGCAATTTGATTATCTAATGAGATTTCATGGAATCTATATGAATATGAATTGCATCTATATTCCATAGTGTATACATGTGTATACATTTATATCTGAAACTTTAAAACCTAACTTAGTCTTCTGCTTTACTTTTAATCAATCAAAAGATATATGTCCTATTTTCAAAAATGGGCTAGGCTTTGCCTCATTTTGTGTATCTGTGATTACGTGGATTCCGTGCCGGGTTCCAAAAAATATGTAGAAATTGTCTAAAATTTTGCAATATTCCCAAGTTCTCTAAAGTTTCAAATTGATATTTTAAGAGTTTTGATACAATTCTGAATTATTTATAAATCAACAATTATATAAATGAATTCGGTGAATTGTTTGCAAAACATAAAATATGTGTAAAAAATAATTCTCATTGTTACAAGTTTTTTTTCCTTAATCTAGAAATGAAACATAGCAAAGGAAAAATCTTGCAGCTTCCTTGTTAGATTATTGACTGCATATTGAAAATGTTGTAACAGCATACACAAATTTCACGATATTTAAAAAGAATATTTAAATTTCCATTTATTTAAAAACAAATATCGCCTGCGGTTTTAACGGAGCTCTAAACTGAATGCTTAGTGTACAAACCCCCAGCCCAATACTCTACACAGTCGACTATTTACCCGTTAATATCTAGTATGTTTTATTACTTTTGTTTACCTTATGTTATTATTAGATTGCAAAAAAATGTATTTCGCATTTATCCTAGTTAAATAATCATTGATAGAAGCTCTCTTCTGCATTCGTATTCTCTTTTCGTTTTTCACTATCATGTTCTACAAAATTTAACTGATATTTTGAAACTTAAATTATTGAAATACTTTCAAAGAATTTTTCTTTTATATTATGAAACAATTTACTCACCAATTGCAATAGACGCATTTTGCTTTTGGGCTCACAAGGTGTATAAATCACTTCCGTATGTATTTTTTGGGCACGTGCTGTGCCACCTTTGAACTGTATTAGCTATATAGAGTTGGGTTCACAAATCCTTCGGCGCGCTTTTTATGAGTAGATGAAATAGCGCTTGACGTGTCGCTGGCAACAGAATTGAAATCACGAATGTGCTGCTCAGGTCTGGGGCACGGGTATTTATCTGAAACAGCCGCCAAATTCGTTGGAGCGCGTTTTGCTAGAACCGAATCCGAGACCGAAAAACTCACAGAGAGACGCACTGAAGCGCGATGTGGAGCTTGTTGGCAGCGGGGTTTGGGGGAGATTCTCGCTGCTCTACGTGTTTCCAAACTCTGGTATTTGTGGTTGAGGTGTTGGCATTTGGCTGGGGCATCGTTTTGTCACTTCACCTGCAACACCTTGGGTGCGAGCCCCAGGCTGCCTGAATGGGAATTTGACTCTGAATCTGACTGTGAAACGGTTTTCGTGATTTTCATGGTCAGTTTGGCATTCGGAGAATGACAGGAGGATGTTTTGTCGGGGCGCAACCTGTCATTATTTGTTCTCAGGTCACATTTGGGGCTAATTAATGCATCTTCTCGCATGGCGTAATGGTCAAGCGAATTCCTTCCAAGTGTCGACAACTCTGACTCATTATTGCTGGATAAATCTTGGATTAAAGGCATGAAATTAGCATTGCTAATTGCGCCAAACAAATTCATTTTTCGTCGCTTACATAATCCACGACCGTGACCATGAAAAGGGTTTAACTCTGAAGTTAAAAAGACTCCAAACGAAACAACTTCACATGCAGATGACACAGATGCATTCTCTTTCATCTAGTTTTCAAAATATATCAAAATTTGTATTTCTATACGTAGATGAAAAATATGAGGTATAAAGAATAAAAACTATTCACATGTAAATATCCAGGATCCAAAAATAGTAAAAGAATGGGCTGCCAGCTTATAATATAACGAAGCTAAACTTACTAACAAAACTAAACTAAATAACACTGTTAATGAAGCATACAAATCTGCAAGCCTTACTTAAAGTCATGAGAAGTGCATAGAAAGGCGGGTTATTAGAAAAACAGTGAAGGGGAGAGGTAAATGTTTAAAGAGCGATTAAGATCAGAGAGAGCAAAGTTCATTATAGTAAAATAATACACATTATCGCCTAGAAAGGCGCCGCAATCAGAGAATAAGGTTTAGTTATATTTTTGCGCTGCAAACAGCTTGCTACTGTAGTAGTACTCCCTGCTAGGGTAGCATATAGTAAAAATAACATATGAACTTTACGCTAGAGTGAAAAATACCACATATGCTCCTTCGGCTGTTTTTTTTTTGTCTTTCTTTCTATTTTTTTTTTTTGGCGGCGTCATCTTCTTCGTCTGCATGCGCACTGAACCCCAAATGGAGGTCGTTGGCATTCACTCAACGCGAGTATATCCACGTCCACTCGAGCCCATCTATAAATTTACAACGGCGACAAGTTTAATTAAACCATTTAATTTTGTTTATCTAATGCGAGCAGACGCACTTTTATATAGGTTTAGTATATGATACAATATGCTAAATATGTTTACAATGTGGTTCTCGTTAGGTGTTTGTTATTATTATTATTATTATACTTATATCATTTTGTTGTTTTTTTTTTTTGTTGTTGAAGATTGCATCTAGTTTGTTTCATGGAAGAACAATTTGTCATACGATTACGCAGACGATTACGAGTACAAGTACCGAGTAGTTCAGCTAATTTAAGTTAAGTTTAAGTATCTAGGCGGCAAAGAAACAGATTTAACAATTATGCTAGGTCAACGATTGGCTAAATACAAGTTATTGTCACATTGTGGCTGAATATCGAAAGCATAGGCCAATTCCCATAAGATATCACGAGTGCGCCATCGACACGCCGCCGTGCATGGCACCCGCGGCGGCGATCTCGTCCTGAAATGCCAGAAAACCAAGCTGGGCATGCGATGCCTCGTTCAGAGCACGCGAACGTATGCAGGCGCGGTACTGATCCGCGCTTAGAGAGCCGGTGCAGATCTGTCGGAGTACAAAAACCAGGGATTAAAGCACAATTTACAGGTGTCGCTGGTTGCCTCACCTTTGTATGCCAGCGATGAAAGATGCCCGGATCTGTGGCGCGAATTATTTTTATTTTGGATCGCACGTATTTGCGATAAAGCATCACATCCTCGCCGCCCCAGCCAACGATTTCCTCATCGAAGCCGCGTATTTGGAGGAAGTCCGAGCGATACTGGCACGTCATGCCGTAGCCAAAGTCGCGCCAGAATCCCGTGTCCCGCGAGATGAGCAGCTGCTCCTCTTCGCTGGGCAGCGGCTTGCCCTGCAGCGTGTACACCACGTGCGGATTATACAGGCTAAACACGACGGGATAATAAACCTAAAAGGACAATTAATCAGTCGAGTCCTCGTCTAAAATGCGCCCTGCTCTTACCTTCTTGGCTGGCGCGGTATTCCAGCGACAGCGCTCCAAAAATTTGGCTGTGAAAACAATGTCCACATCGCACATGAAGAGCAGCGCATCCTGCGTCACTTTTTCCGCCTGGGGCTGAATGTGCTCGGCGCCCAGACGCAGCGCCTTAGCTGCAAGGAGAAATATTTAAAGGATATCCGGCGGCAACTCAGTCTGTCACCCACCTCGGCTGAATGTCTCATTAAGAGCAACAAGCTGTGCACGTTCCACTCCCGCTGCTATCTCCTGCGCCTCCTTGAGGCCCGACTCTCCAAAGTAGACGACTATCAGCTGCAGTCGCCGATCCGCCAGTTTGCCCAACATCTGCACAAAGCTGCGAAAGCTGCGCAGGCGTCCAGCGAGCGGCAGTATCACGTGGATAATGGGACTGGCGACCACCTCGGATAGCTGGACCGTCTGCAGCGGTGCGAAGGGTCGCATGATGAGCGCCTTGCGCACCACATTCGTCTGGTGCTTGATGCTCTGGAAATACAACTCGTATTGGCTGCCAGTTGTCGGCTCCGTGCGGTAGATACCCTCGACAAAGTCGTCCAGCGTGTACCGGCCTAGCTCTGTGGCAGTGAGACCCTTGGCCCTTACACGCGCCGTATAATTGCGATTGAGACTCTCCAGTGCCTTGTTGACCGCTTCTAGGAGATCGCGCCGCCGGTAGCCAATGGGTTTTTCCACCACACGTTTGCCCAGTCCCAGGTCGATGGGATAGACGCGCGTGAAAGTGAAATGGTTGAAGGGTATCATCTCATACTCATTGTTCAGCGGCAGGCCGTGCAGTATTTCCGCGGCGCCCACCTGCTTACGTATATAGCTGCTGCAGTCGTAGTGGTGCGTGAGCGGAGCTGTTGTGGTGTCTGTCTGATGCAGCTGTGTGTTGTTGTTGTTGCTGATGCTGCTGCTGCTGGCTGCGTATCCACTGCCCTGTAGCGGCACCTTGCCCGGCACGCCATTGTTGTTGCCGCCGCTACGATTGTTCTGTAGTAGCACAAGCTGAGCGCGCAGAGTGAGCACCTCGTGCTTGAGCCGCTCTATTTCGGCATCTCGCGCGCTGAGCGCATAGTTGTAGCCATTTGTCTCGCTGGGATTTGCATGCGAGTCCTTGTCCGTTTGAGCGGTCAGCTCATCGAAACCCCATTTTGTTAAAATGGCAATCGAAACTACAGTAACCAGTGCAAACAGCAGCAGAAGGCGCACTAATAACCTGGAGGCCAGCGAGCTATGCATTTTCCATGTTACGTTTGGCAATTAATGCTGCAAAACATCAAGTTTGAATTAGGCGCCAAGAAATAAATTATCAAAGTTGCCACACTGTCAAAAATAGCGTTGCCACGAACGATTTAGCGCATCTCAAAACTGCGTCGCATTTTAACGCAATGTGCTTAACATTTATGTTATTTAACAGCAACAGTCACAACAATCACCATTTTTTTCATTTACAGCCTGTAGAAATTGTCAGACAAAACACAACGTTGCCTTACTAATATTTTTTTAGTCAAAATCCAAAAAAAAATTAAAAGCGAAGCATAAAACAGGCAAACAGTCCAGAAACAGCTTAACAATCGTACAATAAACATTTTCCAGGTGAGTGTGTTTTAGTTAAATAGGGCGAGGCCGACAACGCAATGTAAATATTGTGCGTTGGCAGGCGGCTGCAAAAATTTGACGAGCAACAAGTTTTTTATTGGTGCTGCTAGAGCTGGCTACTTTGTCACTGTTTGCAGCGTCAAAATGAAGAGTCACGGTACAAAGGGTTAGCGCATTTAGTTTGTTTCTGGACGTGGCTAAAGATCTGATTAGCAGGAGGATGCCAACAAATAGTGTGTAATTAGCTAAAATATTTACAGCTACAGAGCTCAGTGTGAACTTTATTTAGTGAGCAGTGTGACCAATCACTGGTTTAGGCAGCGCTCATCTCTATTTTTGTGCTAGCCCAAGTTCGGAAATTGTATGATTCATTTCGTACTGGACAAAATATTGCATAGATAAGATGTGCTTCAGCTTGCCATTGTGCTGTTATTCTGTTTAGTATATGGTATGTGCGTGTGTGTTTGTATTTAACTTTATTAATCGCAGCTTTTTAGTGTATGCACCTCTTTCTCTGCTTACATATGCGATTGTGTGCGCGATTGTATTAACATGTGCGTGTGTGTGTGTGTGTGTGCACTCGGCACAATTAGTTGATTTGTATCTTGAGAACTGAGAAAATTGCTAATGTATACAATAAGTTGTACCCTGTACCCACTGCAAATAGCTAAAACAGAAATATTAACGAAACAGCCTTAGCCAGATATATTTCCAACACAAATATGTTTTTTAATATACATGTCTAATTAGATTGACGAGCCCAATGGAGAAAGTCATGTGGTCTAATCAGAACATATGCATACTGCGATCTGACTTCTTTTCACGCATGGATAACTCATATTCCTTTGGTTTTAATTCTTCATCTGCCTGAATGATGATCTAATGGCTTAATAATGTTAATATATTTAATTTGTAATAGCTGAACGCGTTCCCCCCACTATCGCAATCTCGCCCGTACTCTTCCTGCTCTAGAAATATTGCAGTTCTATGCGATTCTTACGAATTTGACTAATGCTTGCGGATTCTGATTGAAGTTTTATTTAATTTATGCAGCCTAGTTTATACTCTAACTGCAGCAAACGAAATGCGATTGAATGCTAGGGTATATCCAAGTCAATAATTCGAACAGAGCCCGCTGATTTAAACAATGAACGCTCTCTATAATATCTGCTTTTTCTTTTGCAGCTAGTATACATTTGAACAAGCACAAAGATGGAGAACAACGAGGCGCCCGCACCTTCCGGTTCCAATAATGAGTAAGTAGAACTCACAAGAAGAGCCGCAGCCAAATGAATATTAAAAAGTGCGACGCACAAATGCAAGCCCGGGAAACCCAATGTCGTGGTGAAGTTCTTGGCATGTGATGTCATTGCGTCAATTAGTAAAATGCATTCACTTCGGCCGGGGCTGGCATTCGTGCGTGGCGCTGTGAGTCGCGCTTGTGCTTCCCTTCCGCCACACATATAATATTATACAGTTTTCCCATACTTCCGCCGCCGCCGAATGCCTCGTCCTCCTACAACTACAACAACGAAATCAACAACAACAAAAGCAACAACAATGCCGCCCAGAAGCGCCTGCAGCAGACACAGGCCAAAGTGGACGAGGTCGTGGGCATAATGCGCGTCAACGTCGAGAAGGTGCTCGAACGTGACCAAAAACTATCCGAGCTAGGCGAACGTGCCGACCAGCTGGAGCAGGGCGCCTCACAGTTCGAGCAGCAGGCCGGCAAGCTGAAGCGCAAGCAATGGTGGGCTAACATGAAGATGATGATCATCCTGGGCGTCATCGCGGTCGTCTTGCTCATCATTATAATAGGTAAGTCCGCCAGGCACCCATTTGTTCTTTTTTTGGTTTGGTTTAATGCTTTCCGCCTGCGCTTTCATCTAATATATTACAAATGCTTCCAATTCCCAATTGGTAGCTTCAGGCTTAGGCGTCTATGTTCTATTATGATTATATGCTAGCCATAAGCCTGTGATAACTACTTAAATAGTATGAACTGCTATTTAAATTACCCACTTACTGCTAAAGCAATTAGGAAATGCACATTGCTTAGTTATGGATTTAGACTTAAGTACACACGCACCTAAACACCTAGCTTAACCTTGTATTAAGTTTATCACGAAGTATGTAAAGCTCAGAAAGAGATCTTTCCTGCCCCAAATATTTATACTAAAATCGTATTTATAAATCGATATGTATAGAGTTACTATTTTGCTCTCTCCGTTTGTCTGTTTATATGCCAGCCTTAAATTTGTTTTGATATTATTCCTTCTTGCACAATATTTACTGTATAAGTTGCACACATCGATCCACAATATCATATATCTGACAGTGGGAACAACCTCATAGAAATCGGAGTCTGAAAACCTTGCATATTGACAATACTGTTCCTTTAAATAATAATTAATCCAACTAACTAATCCAAATTATAATGCACTAAAAATATTTAGCAAAAACTTATAAGACAACGGACAACTACATCTTTTAGCTCAAGTAGATCAGAATCGTTTGTTCCTCGAGTTATCTTGTTCAAATACTCACCAGCTGGAAGTTTCATTATATTCTCAATGTCTTCTGAAGTTGCGATTAATATTTCATGCACATTTGTCACATGTCTGCAAAAGTCTTTAATTTTTAGTCAGAGATATTTGTGCTTTCATGTTTTTGCGTTAATTTCTGTTTGTCTGGCTTGGTTTTGGTTCTCGGTTGTGGTTGTGTTCGGGTGATTGGAAGTTATTCGCACAATTAACTTGAATCGATTGGCAACTTTTTTGAACAATGATCCATTTTTATTTTACTTGCAGTGTCGCTTTACAATTGATAAACAAAAAACAGAAAAAAACAAAAACAAAATGTATCCACATGCGGCAAGGCAACTTGTTGCGCTTAACTCTAAGGCAACATATACAAAAACGTATACATATATATACACACACGCGCGCGCACACACACACACACACACACACACATAGAAACACACCCACACCCACATAAATGTGCAGTGTGTTACAAAGAGAACAAATTTAGCTTAAGCAAAAGGTAAAAGAAAATTGTTGCGTGTGCTCCATGTGCTAATTAGCTGTTTATTTGCGTAGATAATTAAGCGTGATAGCTTTGTTAAAAGTACAATTGTGTGTAGTTAATTTTAAGATTCGGACTCTGCATCATTAAAACTGCCAATGCATATGTGAGACACATTAGACCAGGCTCCATCGTTGGAACCCCTTTGATTTGATGCACTAATCTGAAACTCTCTTCCCTGCCAATTACAGTGTGCGCTTTGCCCTCAAGCAGCAGCAGTAGCACGGATCATGCCACAAAAGCCGCCACCGATGCGCCCCATTAGGAGCCGCAGCGCAGCTCGTCAGGAAAGAGAAACACAACGAAACACAGCTCTTGAATGGAGGAGCTGCTGCCTTTGCACTGGCCTTAAGCGCAACAAATTTCAATTTAAAGCTGAAACTAAAACTTAAACACAAGCTGTGTCTAAAAACATACAACTAAAACACTTAACAGATTGTTATTTATATATTAATCCTAAATGTTTAAAACACAAACATTTCTCACATATGTATTGTAACAAATATTGCAACAACAGCAACAAATGTAATTTAAAGTAACTACGCACATGTATGCTGCGTGTGTGTCCGTGTGTGTGCTTGAGTGCGTGTGTGTGTGTGTGTGGATGTGGGGTTTTTCCTTACACGTCGCACAAATTGAATTTAAACTTCGTTTTAGCCCAGCTAAGATTAAAGGCCTTTTGCACATGTATTAAACAATAGTTTTAACCAAAAGCCACGCACGCACACATACAAGCGCACGCACAGGCACATATTTTATATGACTATACATATATACACACACACACACACACATATATATATATATACCTTTTTGTATTTACACTTATATGAAATGGCATGTAATTGATATAATTTCGTTATTATTGTACTCGTAATACAACGTGCGTTTGCCAAAAAGAATCGCGAACATTTTGTAGAAAAGTTTACGTGAAATATTATTATTTAAATATTTTTTTTTGCACTTTTTACAAATATTTTGTGTAGCGTGTGCGTGTGCGTTGTAAAGTAAAACTGTATCGATTTGATGCGTTCAAACTAAAAACTAAAACCACAAGTCCGACCTCGACGGGGAAAAACGCGTGGAAATGGACGAGAATAGCTTGGCCATAAACCGAATGTACCAGGCCCTAAATTAAAACACAAATCAGATGTTTGCAAGGATCGCGACACCTGTGACGTAAGCCCCTCAATGGAGGAAGCATCCAGCAGCAGGCAGCAAAACGTTCCTGATTTGCGTTTGCCAGCGACTATCGAGAACATTGGCTGCCTGCGCTGGATGAAGGGGCTAGGAAGGTTGTGGGCGTGTGTCCCGCGTCTCTGCATTTATGTGTGCATGTGTGTGTGTGTGCGCGTGTGTTTGTGCCCGTATGAAACAGCTGTTCGTGGCCTTTGCGACGCATGCGCCTCGGCAATTTCAATTTCAAAGGAGGTAATAAACACATTTTGAAGCATGACAACACTGCAAGGCGGCAGGCATCTGCTCTAGAGCTTTTTAAATAACGTCGCCAGGCTTACATCATAGTTGGCCAATTCGAAGCCAGATGAAAGCGTCCACACTATGCCCATGTACAGGGCATAGAAGTTCAGATAGTACAGCTGGCCAATTAGTATGTGATCGGCAACGTTTCCCACGTGATAGAAGTTCGGCTTGCGTATCGAGGCGGCAAAGATGACCACAAACTGCAGCAAAAGCGGGTATTAATCAGCTGATATATCCCAAATGACACTGCCTGAATGTGGCACGACGGTAAAAGCTTCCGCACCATTGTGCACCATTCAGCTAGTGTTATTGGGATCTGAACGCCTTGCCTGTCTCCTTACAATGTTCGACATCAGGCTGTAGATGAGGAGGGTGGGAAACTCGATGGTGACGCGCTTCATCTCGGAGCAGACAATGATGCCAAAGCAGGTCAGCACAAAGAGACGTTCGCTCCAACGGATTATATTGTGCCGCGACACCTATAAATGGAAAATATCTGTAAGAAAATGGTTCTCAGATCTGGTTCGGCGTTGGAAGAGTCCACTTGCAAAGAGACCACGTCGGTGTTTTACTGCCATGTTGCCATATATCACACTTACGCCCATGATCAAAAAGGTGACCACCCAGGATATTATGAAACACAAGTATGGCGAACTCTTGGCGGGCTTCATGATCGAAATGGTGTTTACCTCGAACTGGAGAGCAGCAGGAATAGTAATTCTTAAATTTAATTCAATGAGTCTCAGTCTCAATCTCTATCTCTCACGCTCTCTCTCTCTTTATCGCTTACCGTCCATATTCCGGCTAAGATCCTTTTCCACAGTGCCCTTTTCTCAATAACATGATAAAAGAACACGTACAGCTGTATCGATAAAAAACTTATAAAAAACTGCAACAGGCTCACATAGTAATGCTTTTCTAGAAACTTCTTGATGACGGAACTGTAGGACATATATTCATGAAACAAGTTGGTTAAAAATTTAATAATAATAATGTATATAGTTAGATAGATACATAGATCGAGAAAACGTTTCGCTCACATTTCATTTACAGCGCAGACCTGAAGTTGTCCAACTAAAAGCATTATGATTGTCACTTTATACGTTTTCTTCAGCAGGGATCTCGCAGCCTGCTCCTTCCCACGCTCATCAAGATCCATTGGTCAAAGTTCTATTCTTGCAACTGGGTAATTTTAACAAAAAGTTCAACGCAACTTAAATATTAAATATAACCATATAGGGGAATGCCACGTCTGTCTGACCCAAGTCACAGTAGCCCTTGCCAATAAATGCGTTCAATGTTGCCCTCCTATATTGAAATTTTGACTAGAAGTGCAAATGGAATACACATATATATTTAAACATGTGGTAAATATGCACTAGCGAATTTTAACAACAGCTTCCAAATTTAAAAAAAATAAATAAATTTTGTTGACATGAATATCTTCCTTACCAAGAATAATGTATAGTATTAGTTACGTTTAGCATCATTTCGGTCACAAGAGCCTCGAGAAATCCATCAAGCATGCCTTGAATCACACGCCCTACACACCCTTCACACTTTCCTCTCATATTAATTCTTTTTAATTTTAATAACTTTTTTATACATACCAACGCATAAATTTTTTGTCTATGTATCCCATAAGCCATAAACCTGCCGAATAATGGATGATCGTGTCGGTACCTATCAACGCACCCGTCGGAAATTCGCGGCCATTGTCTATCTGATAACCTTCTGCTGGCTCCTGCTGGGTCTTGCCCAATGGCTGGTCGTGCTTTTAGTGTAAGTTTGTAGCATAAACAGTATAGAGTATATAAACATATTTCCTATCCATTCCCTTCTCTGCAGTTCCCCGGCCAAGGATACGTTTTTGAGCTATCATTGGATGAGTATCGTATGCTTCACACTGTCAATTACATTGGCGCTTCTCTTCATATTCTTCGAGGCAGCTCGCTTTGTCACATGTGTGAATTGGCTCATAACCATTCTAATCGTAAGTAGCCGCAATTCTAGCAGAGAGCCCGTTTTTTAAATGGGCGATCAGGTACAGTTCGCCATCATGGGCCTGTTTGCACTGGTCGCCAACTCTTCGTGGCCAGAACTAATCATGTGGTTTGCGATTTGCGTCCTGCTGCTCTTCATCTTCGTACTATTGGGCTCTGTTATACCGGTAGGTATTATTTCGACTATGCCCAAGCATTAACTCATCATTAATCATTGATTTTCTAATTATTTAGCACGATCTGACGCTGGATGTTGTTATACTGTTTGTGATATCCTTTGTCTTCCTCATTGTGTCGATCTTCCTGATTATGCTGCACCTACTGACGCTTACAGCTCATTCCTTCATCCTCTACCAGCTATTTGTCAGCGTCATCATTTTGACGGTGAGTATTTGATTACTGTGCCATGGCGTCTATATTCTTTCCTTCTGTCCATCTAGTTTGTCATGTACCACGCGCAGACTATTAACGGCGGCCGCTTTGCAGAAATGCGGGTCAATGATTATCTTCTGGCCTCGATCATACTCTTCTACGATTTTAGCGTCATGTTTCTCTTGACATTCTATATGCAGATCCACTATAAGATCGCAACGATTAGTCCGGCCGGAACTACGACGAAGGCTCCAGACGACAGAAACACCACAGCAAGCAACAACTCAACCCAGGTTTATTTTTTTTAAACTAATTTCATATAAATTGTACAACATGCATCCGTACGACGACATCCACCAGCAAATGCACACGATTATCTGTATTAGTGTCTAATAATAATGTCCAAAGCGTTAGATATTCAAATTCCATCAACAGATGTAATTGTAACTAGTTTGAGCATTATTTGAAATGGGCTATTTGTAATTCATTAATTTGTATCTCATGTATAGCCCATTAAGGAGTAAATAATTATTTCGGTTCAATTCAGATCTTTATTTACACCTATTCTTAGCGGCTTAAATTAAATTTAGTCAAGAAACATTTGTAATCCTTCAAGTCTTTCAAAACGCATACAGACTTGTTGGAGTCGCCGATTTGTCAAGAAACTGCTTGCCCACAGAAAGTAGTGCAAACGGCTTTGTGAACTGCTTTGTTTGGCTTCAGTATGAACACGGATGCTGTTTAACAAAATGTAGGTTCGACTGCTTGATGTACTGCTTATTTGACTGTTTGTTTATTTTTATTATTTTAGGTCCGATTTTGTTCGATATCTCGGCGAAATAACGTCCGATTTTGGATTGGTGGACCATTTTGGACTCGCACTGATCGCTTTTGTCTAATGGCATTACGTTTTTGGGTAATCTTTTTAAAGGACATTACATTGACCACCTTAAGGACCATTCTGATGTCCTTTGGACAACATGTAGTCAGTCCTTGTCCTGCCAATTCAGAATGTGTAATTAAAAGGACGAAAATCCTTCAAGGAGCTGAGAAAAGGAGATTTTTGTCGGGAAAGATAAATCGATGTAGATCGTCCGTATCCTTACCAATCGTGATGTCCATTGGCCAACCGTGAGTCCTTATCCCCCCAATTCAGAATATATATTGAAAAGGATGAAAGTCCTTTAGATAGCCAAGATATAAGTAATATTATTTCGTAAATTTACAAAGCCATAACACGGCCGTATCCTTGCAGATCCTGACAAGTCGTGTGTCAAACAAATCGTCTGAACAAGGACCAAAAACTGTCCAAAGGACATCAAAATCGTCCCTGCCGTTTCCAATATATGGCTAATTTTTTAAAAAGGACATTTTTCAATTAGCCACAACTTGGTCAAATCCTTAAGGATATTGAAAGGATATGCCTTTTTAAACTCGTGGCAAGCAGGACTATCGATTGGCATTCAAGAATTTCCAGGATTCGACAAAAAATTTCATCGAAATTTATCCTAGGGGGTTAGTCGCAAAATTGGACAAAATCAAAAATATCCCGGCTAACTTCGCCATTTGAAGGACTATCGGGATGTCCTTTGGCCAGTAAATAGTCCTCGGCTTCCCATTCAAGAATTTACAACCCAAAGGACGAAAGTCCTTCAGACAAAAAAGTTTTTAGGACAATTTTGCATACTAAAAATAAGCCATAGCTCGGCTGTATCCTTGCAAATCCTTGCGAGTCATATGTCAAAAAAATTGTATTAACCAGGACTACAAGCTGGCCAAATTTCATTAGAATCGTCCTTGTAGTTTGGCAGATATTTAAGGATTTGTGTCTTAGGGCCATTTCCGTGCGATCCGCGACTGAAATTTTACAAGTCAAAATATAAGTCCTGGGGTTCTTAGATGACCCCATATTTTTTGATGCAGATCGATGCAGGGGGTCTATAGGATCCTAACGCACCATGTCCTTTGAAAATCTGCAAGGACATGCCCGAGTTATGGCCTATTTTCCTTACATCAAATGCCTTTATATATTGATTTAATTATTTAATTAATATGTTTTTTATTCTTTCAGGATCACAAATTAAGGACTATAATGAGCCCTAAGGAACCCCACGACTGACAAAGCAAATTTTTCCCAGGATCGGAATTTTATTAAGCCAGATATAGTTATTTTAAGTTTAAATGAACTAAATTGAATATTTACGCTCAATTTGTATAGTTTTCAGACAAATATTTAAGAAAATTAGCATTAAATAACACAATTTTGTAAATTTAAACAAAAATAAATGAATTATTTAAAATAAAAGCGAAATTCATGTTTTATTTAAAAATTCAAAAATCAACGGTCGCTTGCATCCGAACAGAAATGACTAGCAGGTAGATGCACAGAAAATTTCCGCGGAGATATGTCGTTTCAAAACGACATAACTCCGCCATGATAATAGTTATGGGGGATTATGTCGTTTTGAAACGACATATCTCCGCCGCTCTAAAAACAACATTTTTACAAGAAATTTAGCAAAAATACCAGGCGAACAGAAATGACTAGCAGGTAGATGCAGCTGTAGCTGATGTAAAAGGGCTCCTGAAAGAAAAATCATACATGTTTTTGGACCATTGCAATGCACATTTTGCAGGGATCTGATCCTTTAGGTTTCCAAGGACTATATCGATAGTATGGTATAACCAAGGATATGTTAGTCAACTAGAAACCATCCAGGGGGCGGGACAGTTGCTGGGGGCGGCTGTAAAAGAAAACATACACATACTTTGTCCTTTAGGTTCGCTAGGACTATACCCATGACATGGAATAGGCAAGGATATATAGGTCAACTAGGTACCATGAATAGCGATCTCGTTTTTGCTTAAAATCTGGGTCGGTTACAAAATCAAAACATTTTTTATAATTTATTTTGAATATCTCGGATAAATATCTTTTGATTTTGAAATTTTATATGAATTCGAATTCGTACGGATCTCTACTATAAATAGACAATCAATCAAATAAAAAATCGAATCGTAACATAAAAGTTTTTTACAAAAAACGGATCGGTCATGATGTAAAACTTGTTTTTCTTGCTTTTCACAAAAACAAAGACACTTAAATCAAACATGCCTTGAAGTACATGCCCCAAAGGAGGCCCAAGCTAAGTTAATTACAATTATTTTCGTTTGATTTTTGTACTGTTTGATCAGTTATGAATGAACAAATTTTTTATTTGAGTATACAGTGAGCCGTAGGCTGGCGGGACAATGAATGAAGGCACGACCTCGTATGGTCGGGACCGTCTAAAATTCGCACTATACGTTTATTTGATATCCCTGACCTGGCTGGTGATAGCGCTGGTCCAATGGTTGATTATCAACTTGTTGTAAGTTAAGATACCTTAGGTAATCAGAAGCTGTTTCTCACTGAGTATATCTTACATGCTGCAGGCCCAATGTCGGTGACGTATTCGCAAAACCAGAGATAAGCTATTGTTTCTTTACAGTAGGCATACTATTGGTAGTGGCATTGATACTTGTTAATCAGCTGAACAAAATTTGGTTAAATTGGATTCTAACTGCGCTAACCGTAAGTAGTTGAAGTATATAGAAATTGTTAATTGCCAGGAATGCAATTTTAGATAGAGTTCGGGATCCTTGGTATGGCTGCTCTGGTCATTACATCCTTGTGGCCGGAACTACTCCTGTGGACTTTCATTTCTTCGCTGCTGATCGTCCTTTGTATTGTTGTTAATATTTATTTGCCTGTAAGTAAATAAGTATCATTATCTGAATTAATTATCTGATAAGTCGATACCTTCAGTGCGATCTTACCAAGAATGGATTCACACTGCATATTATTTCCTGTGTCTTCTTTTTCGGATCAATGTTCATACTCATGATGTACGTGATAATAGCCTCGTCGTATTTCAGTGTCATATTTCAAATCCTGGTCAGCTGTATCGTCATTATGGTTATTACTAACTAAACTACTGGGTTCCATCGATATCTATTGATCGCTCGCTCTCTATTTCTTTTAGTTTGTGGTGCACAACGCTCAGGCCATTTCTGGTGCACGTTTTGCGGAGCTAGTCCCCGTAGATTTTCTTCTGCCCAGCGTCGCCTTCTTCTATCATTTTGTCGTGCTATTTCTGCTTTCATTTTCTGCGCACCAGTACAAGTTCGGCACGTGGACAATGGTTGCGATCGGATGGCTCAATCCATCTCTGTTGAAGGAGAATGAGGAAAGTTAACCAGCACTAGAGGAATCCTTGTCAAGCAAATTATCTGTTATTATTATTATGTTATTATTTTGTTATTTTATTTTATTTCGTTTACACTTACCAACAGGAGTTTTTAATTTCAGAGCCTTGCGCTCTCACTTGGTAGCCATGGTCGGACAATAAGCACCGATCACCTCGAAGAATACATTTTCCGCCGCTGTGCTTGTGTGTATATATGCGTGTGTGTGTGTGTGTGCTTTTGATGTAAGTCTGTGTAGAAAAAAGCTAAAGTGTATGTAAAAGAAAGGGTATACCCTAGTCAGGCGCTCTTAGTTGTTGTTCATGCCTTGACTTATGCAAGCCTACAGATACATTGTAAAATGAATTAAGTACAAATTCTTAAGTAGATCGATTGCTTTCCATTTAACTTTAACGCTGAAATTTTAATCACATTGAGGAGTAAAACAAATGTACATCTATGTATATATAGAATATGGTTAGATCGTATAGTTATTATATAGGTGTTATGTTTGTTAAGCACAGATCACAACTAACATGGATGAGTCAACGCTTCGGTTTTGTTAGATATTATATAATACACGGGCCTAGAGCGAGATCTGCAGCTGTTTCATAGGGGCATAGACATATACACACATACACATATATAGACGCGAATTGGAACTACGTTAGCTAAGATTATTGATTGCACAGCAGTGAAGGATTGTTTTAGTTTAGATATTCGAATATGGAGTATACATAAATTATAGGTTGTTTAGTTATTATTATGCTTATAAGGACTCCAGCGATGAGGCAGCCGAGCAAATAGTCGCATCCGAATCACTGAACTTTGATGCACCCAACGCCGAATGCAGCAGCTGCGACGCCGACCGCGACGCCGACTGCGACTGCGATGCAAACGAACCGAGCAGCGGCGAGGCCAGGTCATTGGGACTGCTGAGGCGACTTGGTGTGGGCGTGGTAGCTCCGGCCAGGCTAAGGCTGCTGCTGTCCGTCGACGAATCGACATCAGCTGACCGCAAGGATGTGTTGGCATATCGTTCCAGCAGCAGCTGGCTGAAGGTCCTCGCTGGCCAGTCACCATCCTCGAAACTGAGCGGCGGCCCAGCCGGATCCGTGGGTGTTGTTATGGGTGTGGGCATGTGGTTGATGCTGCTGGTAAAGGAACTGTTGTCGATGAGACTGCTGACGGGCTCCAGAAATCGCTTGCCATGGTACATATGACAGTCCACAAGGGTCATAAACGGCGACGGCGTCTGCGACTGGGCCGTCCACAATGCAATGGGACGGAAGTGATTGGTGGGCGTGGCATTGTAATTGTGATTCTGATTGTGGTTGTGATTGTGACTAAGGTTGCTTGACTGGGTGTTGGTGCTCGTCTGGCTGCTCCCGCGTCGCTGGCTAAGCTGCAGCAGCTCAGTTTCTGGAGGAGAAGCACAAATCAATACGCAGGACAAGGAGAGTGTGGAGAGAGGGAGGAGCGAGAGATTCGCTTATGAAGCTGGTTTCGAGCATTGGCTGGCAATATAACTAATAACTGGCGACTACGCTACCTGTGCTTCATACCTTCCGCCGCGGACTCCTCGCTGTCCACATCCTCGCGTATGCTGGCCTGGCTGGTCACCGGCTGTCCAGGCTCACGCCCGTGCGAGTTGTTGGCATGGTTGCCGTCCAGCGTGGTGCTCACCACGGCCACGTCCATGTGCGAGTCCAGCGAGAACTGTTTGCCGGACATGAGTATGCCGCGCACTCGGCGACGCGTCGATGGCGATTCCTGGTGCTGCAAGCGATTGAATCATTAGCGGAGCTCGTACTGCTGCAGTTCTACTTACCGCAATGCGTATTCCCGCATAGGTCTTGGCCAGAAACTCGTCAGCATCAAAGATGGCCGCAAACGAACCATTCACCACCTTTGGCGACAGCGGCGAATTCGAGAGCAGCAGGCTGGAGCCGAATGCTTCGCTCTTCTCCTTGGTATCTGTGTTACGAGATTATCGATTATTTTCATTAATACCTATTTATAGATGGAGCTTGGATCCATTAAGCTGATCAAAATATAAAGGAGTTAAAAAGCTAACAAAACAAATCCCATGTATAAGATACACTTGGAACCTTTGTATCTTAAATTATTGGCTGTTAAACGGATGCATTTGTAGCTTTAAGATACTTTAACTAATATATTATTTTTATCTTACAGATTGTTTTATATCTCCGACAATACAAATACTTCCTTATTTACACGAATCTATTTAATGATTTTTAGTTCTTTAGATACTTTTGTATCTTGCCTTCACTTGTATGGCCCCATTGTAACATTTGTATCGGTCAGATACTTTTCTAACACTCGAATAAAAGTTTTCTTACCAATACTTTGTTACTTTACAAGATACAGATACTATTTAATATTCCCAAATCATTTGCTTTGAACTCCTTTTAGTTACTGCGGAACCACATCGATACATCTTGTATCTTACAGATACAAGCGTTAAATGTCATTTTGTCAAGTATCCGCTGATAGGACAGCACTCAGAGTATGGACCGCAAGAATAAAATAATGCATCTGGGTGGATCAAAGTGTTTTATGCTAATGGGAAAAGAAACGTAAACAATAATTTAATACAAAACTAAACTAAAATAAAACAAAACAAAGAAAAACGAAACGAAACGAAACGAAACGAAGCGAAACGTTGAAGGGACATTCAGTAATTGGGAAGGGCCCAGTGTTTACCCTTCAGATAGACGCGATTCGAGATTGTGATGTTCATCTCGTCGAGCACCTGGGAGGCCACCTGCTTGATTTCCATCCAGTCCTTGACAATGTCGTCGAGCGTCGTGTGCGTCGAGGTGATGGTAAACCGAATCACGTATTGGCCTTTCAGAGAGGACGGCACGCAGTGCTGGTTGCCCCGATAGTTCAGGCGCTTGAGCAGCCGCTCGGTGATCTCGTTATCGCCGCGTATGCGAAACACGACCAGGCCCAGATGACGCTTGGCCGGCAGCTCGAAGCGATGATCGGCAAGAACTAGCGCCTCGAACTTCTGCGCCAGGCGCACGCCCTCCCGAATGTGGCGCTGCAGGCCCTTGATGCCAAAGGAGCGCAGCACAAACCACACTTTGAGCGCCCGGAAGCGGCGACTCAGCGGAATCTGCCAGTGCATAAAGTCGACGGCCACCCCGGAATTCTCGTGCTGCAGATACAAGGGCTCCACGTTGAAGGTCCGATGCACTGCGGTGCTGTCCTGCACCCACATCGCCGTGGCATCAAAGTGCACCATCAGCCACTTGGAGGGATTGAAGGCCAGCGAATCGGCGCGCTCGATGCCCCGCAGCCAGGTCCGGAACTCGGGGCAGATGAAGGCGCTGCCCGCATACGCCGCATCCACATGCAGCCACAGGTTGTACTCGCGACACACGATGCCAATCTGGGAAGGAAATATAGCTCGAGTCTGCCCTAAAGGATATCTAGGAATCCAGGTATATATCTACCCACCTCATCCAGATTGTCAAAGCTGCAGCTGCCCGTGGTGCCGAGCGTGGCACAGACCTGTATGTAAATAATAAATAATAATAACCGTATAGTCCAAGCATAATAGCTGAAAGTAAAAGCTTTTCAAAAAGCTTGTATTCGTTAAAGATAAGGCTGGATACGGAGAGAGCTTTTAACACAGCATTAGCTGACAGTAAAACGTTTACGAATCAAAAAATTCAAAATTAAGGGTAAGTAAAATAATCGTTTCGCTGTAATGCTGTAAAAACTGCGTATTCAAAGAAGAGAGAGCCTTAGTCGCCAGTTAAATGTTCAAGAATGTTGTAAAATGCGCGTATCAAAAGAATTAAAAGTAAACACAAGACAAAGAAGAATTAAAGATTTAAAGAAATTTGGATAAATCTTTGGGTGTCGGTTAAGCGGTTACGAATGCTGTTATAAGAGCATAGCAAGAGAAAGGACGATAAGGGATTGAATAATAAAGAAGAATTATAAATCAGCAGCCGCCAGTTGAACGTTTACGAATGACGTAGAAAGCGCGTAACCACAAGAGAGTTGGCAGCTGCTGCGCTCTCAGCTGCAGTTATTTGTTCAAATGAGCTGAGCGCAGAGCCATGACGCTGAAGTGCTGACGTATATTAATTAGATCCGATGGGAATCAGGGAATCAGCTAGAGAGAGAGAGAGCGAGAGAGAGAGGGGGGGAAGGGGGGGAGGGAGAAGGAAACACAGCTGCTGCTGGCCACAAATCCACTCAGCGCCTAATTGCACAACGACGGCGGCCAATTAGTTTTGACAAGACAAGAGGAGACAAGACAAGAAGAGACTCACCCAGAATGGCACCAGGCCCTGCTTAATGTCGTCCTCGATGGCCTCGCGCAACAGTTTGCCCCGCATGGCCAGCTGCTCGTCCGCCTCAATGTAGCGCATACGCACAAGTCCTGTGGGCGAATGGATGTGGGTGGCCATGAGGGAGGTGGTGGTATGGATGTTAGCATTAGCTGCTGCGGTAAGCGGCTTAGAAGTGCGTCACGACTCACCAATCAGCGCCGCCTTCTCCACGCTTGAGTGCGCCTGATCCGAGCAGTAGGCCACGAGGCGGGCATTTATCTCCGCATCCTGGTAGCCGGGATTGCGCTCATGGAAGCGCTGTATGGCCCGGGTGCGGCCCGCGAGCAGGCACACCAGGGTCGCCTCGCTGGCCGTTGTTTGCAGCACGCCGCCGCCCTTGCAGTTGTTGCTCAGGTGCAGAAACTCGTCCGGCAGCCCAATCATCTTGCCCAGCCAGTTCATGACAACAATCTCCAGCTCCGTGCACGCCGGCGAGCTGGCCCAGGTGAAGCCCAAGCAATTGATGGCATCCGCCAGCATATCGCCTAGCAGCGACGGCATCGAGTTCAGCGCCGGAAAGTAGCCGTGCATATGCGGCGACTGCCAGTGTGTCACCCCGGACATGACAATGTGCTCCACATCCCCAAAGATCTTCGGCCAGGGCTCGCCCTCCAAGGGCGCCGACTCGGGCAGCAGCTGACGCATATAGCCGGGACTTACATCGGGAAAGACGCGA